GTGCTATGCTTACTGCCTCCACTACTGCTGCCACCACTATGTGAATGGGAATGCTTATGACCCATGCTGTGGTGGCGATTTAAAGAATGTTCTTTGTGCTTTTCCTTATGCTCTTTGCTAACGTGAGGACTCGAATGTTTACTTTTACCACTACCCTCATCTGATGAGCTATGCCTTTCTGAAGAAGAAACTTTAATTTTCATCTTCAGCTCCTCCTTACTGGCACCCTTTTCTGTGGGTGGAATTGGAATACGGAGTTTGAGCGAGCCACTCTTTTCTTTCTTATCAGTCAAGTGTTTTTCAGGCTTCTCTGCATTTGCAATAGGAATTTTCATTTTAATAGGAGACGTAACAGAAGTACTGCTGGCTGGCTGTGCCTGCACATGTTTTTTGTGTGTCTGTTCCCCTGGAGTTGCTACATAGTGTTCTCTCACATCTAGTTCAAGGGTTTCTAATTTACGTTTCTCTCTATATTTATCCAAAGACATTTTTTGAGGAATTATTATAGGAGCAGCAACTTGTCCATGGTGTTTGTTTCCTGACTTATGAGAATATTCTTGTTTGACAGTAGAATGTTCAGCAAGTTTGTCAGGTCTGTGATGCACTCCAGAGTGCAACTGCACAGATGTTCCTTGTTGGAAGTTCATATTATACTGATTAGGAGGTAATGCCTCCTGTTTTTGAGAGTATATTTGTTCTGTCCTTGTTTGTTCTTGATGCTGAGGCCATTCCTGGTGTGATGCCAAATTGTATGAGGTACTTGGCATTCCTGTTGCTAGTATTGCCAAATTTTCAGGTGCATGACTGTCTGGAACAGAAATACTTCCTGAGGTCAGAGGTACTGGTGCAGGAAATGATGTTGATGGTTTTTGGAAACTTGTGTTTGCAGCTACACCAGTAACTGTATCCACCAAAATGGAATTCTGGACCAAAGATGAGCCAAGAAGTGAGTTCTCAGATACCTGTCCGTCACCTTTAGGTTTCTTAGCAGCTTGATTAGCCTGAGGAAAAAGATGTGAGAAAATGCAAAGCTTAGAATGCTAGTAAAAAAAACTAATCTAGCTCACAGGTGAGGATAAAAGCTGACTCCACCAGCTGTACTGGGGAAATAAAAAGCAGTTCATAGTTCTTCTAAAAACTTTTTGCTGCACTGATATAGGAAAATTTCTTACCCTCCAATTTCTAATTCTCTTCAGCCTGCTAGGCGTTTTCTCCAGTATTTGAAGAAACTCATGAGTTAGTTCTGAGTAGAGAAACAAAAAAAAAGTTTTACATCTGATTCTGTAATAAGCAGGTTTAACTTCTATAGTTTTTCTAGACTAACAGAATACTGCTTCAGCAGCTGTTACTGCAGGCTGAATGTGATTTGAATCATTATTTAATCAAAATCATTTGACAAGTGCTGAACAAATAAAGCAACAGTATTTCACTAAGACAGACCTCTATCCACCACACACACTCTGAAAAGCAGGTCCACATTTCCAGTGTTATTCAGACACTTGCAGAATCTGCATTTATTAGATGAAAAATTTTCCAGAGGAAACTGTACAAGCAAAAGCTCCTAAAATAACACACCTGTCACTCAGCTTAAGCATTTATTGTGTGAAGTTAAGAAGTTTAGACTTTAAAGGAAATTTAAATCATGGTGTCAGTTATTTCACTGAACTTAAGGAACAACCAGTAACAGCTCTGAGCTAAATATCAGCCATCTGACCCTCTGAAGCACTATTTTAAATAATAGTTTTTGATTTGTGTTCAAAGCAAAGTAGCTGGCTGTGTTTAGAAGAAAAAACCCTTTGCATAACCACAAGGAAGCCTAGGTCTCCGTACCTGTCAGCTTGCACAAAAAAATTACTTTTAACTGAAATTTAATTCTACTCAAACTAAAAAAATTAGTGACAGAGTAGACCTACTGCAGGTCTAGAAGAACTGGCTTCTCCAGAACTCCAAAGCAAGTTAGGGCTGCAAAAATGATCCAGGGAATGGAGCAACTGTCTTATGAGGACAGGCTGAGAGAGCTGGGGCTTTTCAGCCTGGAGCAGAGAAGGCTGTGAGGTGATCCGATAGCTGCCTTTCAGAATCTAAAGGGGAGCTACAGGAAAGAAAGGGACAGACTCTTTAGCAGGTGGTGTGGTGACAGAACAAGGGGAAATGGCTTTAAGTTCAAATAGGGTAGGTTTAGGTTAGATATAAGGAAAAATCTTTTACAGTAAGGGTGATGAGGCACTGGAACAGGTTTACTTAGTATTGTGCTTGATGCTCTGTCCCTGGAGACTTTGAATGGAAAGCTGGATCAAGCCCTAGGCAGCATGATCTAGCTGTGATGTCCCCGTTCACTGCAGGGGAGTTGGACTAGATGGCCCTCAGTGGTCCCTTCCAACTCCTTGTTCTGGAAAACATTTAAAAGCAAAACTCTAACCTGCACCTACAAAAGGTACATGGATATCCCAGCTCACAAGTTTAAATAAAATGGGTTTTAAAATAAAATAAAATGGGTCTTCCTAAGTTCTTCCCTCTCCTATAACTTTCTCTTATCTGAGGAGTCAGTATGTGAAATCAGTGAAACCTGTTCTGGGATTAAAGCTATGCTCTTACAATACTAAGCTACTATTTTTTTACAGCCACATTAATAAACATTTGCAAGATGTGAAAAGGCAGCATTACTTACCATCCAGTAATTCCAGAGTAACTGAAGGGTCTACATATTCCCACCAGTGTTTTCCATCAGTTGATACTGGAATCTCCCAGTTGGACCACTTGCAGGCCAAATGAATGCACACACAAGCTATCACTGTAGGCTTGTATTGAAGACAGAATGTAGTAAGGTGAAGACTGTTGCACACAAATTTTGCAATGAGGAACCAAAGGAAATCAAACATGTAAAACAGGAAAATCAAACAAATTAGCCATTAACACACAGCTTAAGATCATTTGTCAAACAACAGCAGTTAAACAGCAGTTCATGGAACATTTTTCTGTTTCAATTCTTAAGATGCCTTACTGCCCTAGTAAAACAAAGGGCAAGGCATTTATCTGACAACATTTAATTTGCTATTCCTATAAAAAGTCTGGTTAACAGTAAATAAATTCACCATTTATTCTTCTTTACAGAAGTACTAAAAAAGAAATTAGTGTAATATGGACAATTAAAATTATAACTATAGTAAAAGAAAATACAGTTCATTATACAGTCTTTGTTTTAGATGATTAGATGAAGATACCCAAAGTTTCACAGAGGCCAAATGAATTATTACTTTTGAGCTTAGGTTTCACCATGCCTGAGTTTGCGGTACTTGTGAACTCAACTGTAGCTTCTAGCTGGCAGCAGCACAGAGGCTTTGGTTCAGCTTCACTGCTTTATTGCAGCTTAACAGCTGCTTCAAATACAGAAGTCTACCCACTAAAGAACCACCAAGAAATGTTTGTCTGAAATAACTCTAACCAACCGGTAGATGCTACTTAAATACTAGATAGATCTAGCGTAATCTTAATAAAGTACCATGTTGTCTTGCAAGAAATAAATTGCAGTCATCACGAAATCAACACTAAAGCCTACTCTCAAATTCTGTCTTTCTACAGCAGCCTATCCATACACAATCTCCATCTGGAATCAATTAACTTTAAATTTATGGAAGTATTTAAGTTTTAAAACATGTATTTAAGATTAAAGAGCTATTTCTAAAAGGAAGAACACTGGATTACTTCTAGTCTATTTGAAACGAAAAAAAAAATGAACCAGATTTTAAGCCCACTATAATTTTATAAGTTAAGACTGGATCAATATATTTAAAGTTAAGAGAAAACTGCCATTAACTAGAAGTGTAAACTAAAAATAGTTTTGTACTTACCAAGATCCTCGAATTTCTAGGTTAAGTTTAGCTCTTTGTAATCTTTAGCTGCTATTCAGGCTACCAATTTTAGACTTATGCACTCACAATCGAGAAAATGTCATCAGAAAGCACCACTACACTTCTCATTGTGCATTTAACCCCTTTGTGCCATCAAGCCCTTGTACAATACACCGCACTGCAAACAGAAAGGTACCACCACTGTAGATGGCCCAGTCTCCTGTTGCAACAAGGGTAAGACACATGTAGGGGGCCCTGCAGTAAAGGAAGCTATAGTGTGCTACAACAGTGCAACAAAGAGGTTCAGGATAACAACCTGTTGGTAGCCATGAAATAGGATGTCTGTGCCAAATCCTTGCTTGCTGTAAGAAAAAGAAAAACAAAGTGATTAAGGATCTATGCTAACTTATCAGGTTCATTCCACAATTAAAAGTTTTACCTTCCAAAGCACCATTTACTATTTTCACAGAACTGATTTGAATTTAACTAGCTAGCCTTTAAAGTCTTTCCAAGGTACAGAGGCATCCATTACATTCAGTAACTGGAGATGGACCAGACCTTTGGTCCACTGACTCTCCCTTCACTCAGCCCATGGAACCATTTCCCTTTCCTCATCTACCCTGCTAAAGCCTCATACATGAAAACACTCTTCTAGAAATACTTGACTCCCTCCCCCCACCCAAACAGCGGACTGCAGCAAGGCAATCTATAAAAATGAATCACTACAATGCAAGTTCTGCTCTTTGAGAGGAACGTGACAGTATGGCTGGAGAACCCACCTCCCCCCCATAAAACTGTAACCATGTTTCTCCCCCAGAACCTCAGAGCAAGCTCCCAAGCTAGATGGTTAGAAAAACAAGTTTTCTGCTCCCTCTAATCAAGAGCACAGTACTCATATCATTTTGTTCCACACTTGTTAAACCTGTGTCACAGCTTCTGATAAGTAGTAAACAACTGCATTTTTGTCAGAAAAAAATATGCAAGAGACTGCAACGTACCACAAACAAAAAGCCAATGACTTACACTGTTACAACCATCTAGCATTGACCCCTACCAGTGAAACCCCAGTGATCCTCACTCAAGTAAAAGAACTTACTGTAACATGTACATAATGGGATAGCTGGGCACAATGGTATTAACTGAAGATTGAATGCAGCCTTCATTGAATTCTTACTTTGACGCTATCACTTGAAATCAGTGCTACCTGCAGAAAGTGTATTGTTGAATTTTATGTCAAAGGGTATACTGTCACAAAACTTTATTTTAAATGATCTTTCGATTAAATTTGAGAAATACTGCAGTGGCCTTTAACATTTAATTTAAAAATAAGTGTATTAAAATCACGATTTAGCTATTTTTAATGATTGCCAAAGAGTATAAATCAGGTTTGTCTTCATGCTATGCAGATAGACAGTGCCATAATCTGAAAATAACATGGAAAGAACAAGGTAACAGGATCCATTCCTGCACACAAATTCTGCTAATCCAATAATAATCAAAAGGCAAGCTACGTGACAGGGTTATGCTATAATTAGTTTGCAAACTATAATGGTAGTTGTATGCCAGATAACCATGGAGTTCAACCTTTTCCACTGCCTCTCAAAAAAGGCAGTATTACCAAAAAGAAAAACTAAAATGAGATCATAAAAACAAATGAAAACACAGAATGGTTTAACAAGACTGAAACTGATGTCTTGCTCTTCATTTTTCAAAGTAATGTTTGAAGGACCTTCAATATTTTCTACGTTCTGTACAGTTATAGCATGTTGTAATTAAGGGACTGGACCCAGAAGCATCTCTACTCTCAGTGAAATGGCACTTTCAAAAAAGGAAGAAAAGCAGATGCCAGAAAACTTCTATTTAACATCAGCTTGAAAGTTGAGTAAATCAAAACACATACCTGGAAGAAAAGAATCACATCTTGAAACACACATTTTTAGCCTCAATAAAAAAATTAATGTGATAAACACCTTACCTACACTACAAGCAGTATCATACTTGTTTCAATGGATTTACAGCTAAATAATCAACACTGCCAAAATCAGAAGGAAGTTCAGCTCAATAATTAAAAGTCTCTGTAAAGACAAGGCACAGTTGAAAACAACTGTCCCAAACTCTTCTCTTCCATTTAGAGCAGTTCTTCTTCAGTAGAGTCTGCCCACTAAAATTAAAACTAATAGCTCCTGGTTCCTATATTTTCTTTATAGCAAAGTAGAGGAAAGTTCATTTCCCAAATTGTATGATTAAGTACAGAGGTTAAAACAAGCCAGCACAGCTTGCCTGTTACAACTTGTAAGATGTAGGACAGATGACTGATATCAGACATTAATAATCAGTTTTCATATTTTTTCATTCAGGAATGATTTTAAAAACCTACCCTGTTTCACTGCTGCAGAAGCAACCATAAGACAGGGGATTACTTAATCAAGATTTTGAAACAGGACCAGCTGTCTGATACAACTCCCAAACAGCTACTGACTCCAAGCAATAACCAATGTGAAGCAAAATGTAAACCAATCAATATAAGAAGACTGGAAGGCTGCTGAAGTAGTTGTGAGGAAAAAGAAAGCCACAGGCCTCTGAATGTAGCTGTTGGTGGACACTTGTTTTATCTAAAAAGGACTGGAGAAGGCCAAAGCATAGGTCTTCAGGTCTGACCAGTCCTGGCAGCTTTATATTTTTTGGAAGCTGCTAAACCTTGTGAACAGGTCTGTAAAAGACTGAGGTGAAAGTTCAGAATGTAAAAGTTGCCTGTAGCATGGCTTGAGTACAGCTGGCATCTAAGATTTTTTTTTTCTACACCACTGTACTAAGATCTAAGTCGTCCTCAAATTGATCTCTTCTGCAGACTTCATAAGCCTGACTTAACCCCACTATGGTACGTTTGAAGAACTTGACAGTGCAATTTCCACAGATGACTAGTAAGGATCATGGGTGTTCAAGATACCTTATGACCTGCAGAGTAGTGAGAACAATCTTAAAAATTCTTGTGATTCCATCTTCAGTTCCAAAAGAAGGTTGTATACCAACACACAAAAAAAGGAATGATGGAAGACTTCCCAAGAAGGAAGTAAGGAGATAGATTTCTCCCCTTCAAGCTTCACCAGATGCAGCTAAGAACAGACTGAGTGTGCACCAGAGCTTAAGAGGACACTGTGATGGTCTCTGACTCTAGGGCAGTTTCACTGCTCAACTAGAATTCAAGCCAGTGAAGGTAGCTTGGCATCAGGAACAAAAATGGTTGCTTTTATTTTTCTTCTTCCCTTTTTCTCTTCATCACTGGAGCATCCTTGGAGTGGGCACTGAAGCTTGCCTTTATGGATCCACTGCCCCAGATTCCTTAGAAGACCTGTGAGATCCTAAGGAATGATGGTCCTGTCTCCTCTTCTCAGTCTCTTGACACTGAGGAAGAATGGTGCAGAAAACAAACTGAGCCCACACCCATCCTTGACTACTATACTGACTAAACCGTAAAGATGGAACAATTTTATGAACCCACGAAACTCTGAAAACAAGAATGAATAATATCTTACACCTAAGCAGCCTGAGTTAATATATACAAACACACACACACACACACACACACCCAGTCACCCCTTACCAACAATAATCTATTTTGTCTACTATGACTTTCAGAAGGGTTTCAATCTTGAGATGAATTAAATTTTTCCTTTAGTTGTAAATTCAAGCAGATTAAGTTTATTAGCACCAGTTCCCACTTACTAGATCAGCTTCCAATAGTTTTTTTTCCTGTTTGGAGGGTCTTCTGACATAGGACTTTGCAGGAACTTTTGAACCTCATCAACAGAATATTATTTTTTTCAAGGAAATACCTTACAGATTAACACAAGTAACAGTGAGAGCATAAAGCATGCCACTCTGGATGCAAGATAATAAAAAGTGATAGAGGGAATCAGGCATCTTCTTAGCTCCTTCATTAAACGTAAGTTTTAGCCAGCTTTTCTGAGGGAGCAGGGCATTTTCTCCTGACATGATAATTCAGTGCAAATTACTAAGCCAAAAAGCCTTGTTAAGTCACTCAGGACTTGTTAAGACCTCAGCTAACTTTGCACCCCTGACAGTTAAACAATCAGTCAAATTATCTTCTTCCCTTCCCTCCCCTCTCCCCTCAAAGAGGCTGTAGAAGGTTTTGATCATAATAATCCTGGATGAATTAATCTCCTTTAATATAAGATGAGCTTACTTTGCCTTCTGGAATAATTACCAGAACCACATGAAGTAACCCTACATTGCTTTAACTTCTCAATCAATCTCTTCAGCATTAAGGGCTTACCACAGATAATGGTTTTCAGTATACATTGAAAGTTTCAGGACTGGATATCCAAGTCTATAACCTATCTACATTAAAGCAACACTGTCCAAGAAGTAGATATTAAGAGAGAAAACTCGAATCATATCACAGTATCACTGCCAGAAATCCATCTTTATCCACTCAATACAAACAGCTAACATTCCACAGTAATTATTCTCAATTAACTTTTAAGCATACTACATTTTTCATATTTCATGTTTTAAATTTATGGATTTTTGCCATGTTTTAAAAATTACGTATTCGAGTCTTGTGTTCACAGCCCATACCACCCCAAGGGGGGGATATGCTAACAAGAACTCTGTTGATGTATATACACACAGACACCAAGAAACACACCTACCCAGCTCAGTAGCTTTTCAAGCAACAATTGTATTAAATTCACCTTGCACCAGTTCTTGAGGCACGCAGACTTCCAGCCCTCAGTGAAGTCTTCAGATTTCAAAATTTCATTTAATTTTGAATTTTAAGTATTTTGTTAAACTGCACTAACATTAAACACTAGCTTTAAATTTTAAAGTTTTAATCATAACCTGTACCTTCAGTGCACAAACTATGTTAGTACACAAGAGTAGCAGACAGCACACACAGGAAACAGCTGAACTGTAGAGCAGTATCTACCCCTGACTAAAGGAAATGAAGTTTACATAACAGTATGACTGTAAAACTTCCATCAGACACACACACGAATGTGGAAGTCCTGAACTACTCACACTACTGCTTACCACCCCCTCCCTGCTGTGCCCAGACACTGAGATGAAGTGCAGAGACTCACGCATCAGTGAGATGTGCTTATATTTATGTTGACCAACAGCTAAGAAAACTCAAGGCAAAACCTTACAGAACTGCTGATGCAATCTATTAAGACACTAGCTGCAATTATGCACTGAGTCACAAAGCTGGGCAGAAAGCAGAGAATGCTCTAATAGCAAAGATTGCGATAAATCTACTTTATATGCAAATAGGCTACATACAACACCAGCTCTCCTCAAATTCTAGTAAGTTACTTCAAAGTGAGAAAGCAGCTCTTTTTCCCCTTCAAAGAACAACCTTACTTCTAGAATTACTAGAAAACAGACCCTAGTCAACTTGGTTATGTTGTACCTACCCTTCTGATATTTCACAGGGGGAGGAAGACCTTTGAAGAACTTAAACTTAGCTATTCTTCACTGAGACAACAGTTGCTGACTAAAGGTCAGCAACTACAATCTAATCATTTCCAAGCATTTCTTAAATTAAGGGACATGTTTTAAAGCAAAAAGCCTATTCTAGGAGCCTTTTCAATTGATTCCCCAATACCCATCCCTTATCTTATGATAAGAGATTATTTTTTTTTAAAGATCTGAAGGAAACAGACTTAGGAATTAAACGCATGTCAAAGCTCAACAAAAATACTGAAAAGATTTCTAGCTAGAGTCCCATTCATGAGCTGCATGCAAGTTAGAAGATGCACAAAACAAAAACTTAGGAGTTTGTTACCGCCTAATCTAAATTAGTACACTACTTTAGAAAAGCAATTAGTCACATCATTAAGTAATTGCATGTGATAGCAGACTTGGTATGTACTCTGTATATCCCACAGCTTGTGAGATTTGCTAAGGTTGAAAGCTACCATTAGCCATTATTTAACACAAATTGTAAAACTACTTCAGAGTGAAAATCAACCCAGAATTTAGATTTCAACTAATAACTGCTTTGTAATTTGAAAAGACATGGAACAGATCACTCAGTCAAATTTAATAAGTAAGCAAAAAATTCATAAAGGACAGAGAAGTGGACTCTTCAAACTCTAAATGTTAAGAGCAGGCTTTTAGGAACTAGCTTTAAACAAACTTCGGACAACATAGTAGAAGATCATATTACACAAATAACATCTTCAAATTTCACTATTAAGGCAAAAAAAGAGCTTACACAAGGGGATATAAGCCACTGACCTCTCACTAATTGCGTGCATTTCACAACATCTGTGTGCGGATGTTCAATGGTAATCTCAAAACCTTAAGAGTTAAGAACATATTTTAGAACAACACATTTTCATCTGTAAAATACACAGAAAAGAAAACTCTTCCTTTTCCTAAAGACCTAATACTTGCTAAACCTTCCCAACACAGATCACGGAACGCTAAGTACCTTCTATTTTGCATCCTTTCTGAATGGTAAACAGTAGAGCCCTTCAAAGATCAACGTTCCTGCATTACTCTCAAGTTCTGTATAGTATCTGTGAAGCTACCATATTTTTAAAGAACAACATCGAACAGCTTCCAGTACATTTGTAAGTCAGTACAAGCTGTATCACGGACACTAAGATGTGTGTACATGCATGCGCTTTATTCAATCATTGCTGGGACTAACAGACATGTTGCATCCATGAGATTACCAACTAAGACAATTTACAGGCCAGTCACTCCAGAAAGCTGTGTTTATAAAATTATTAAAAAAATGGGTCACTACTATTAACTTTTTTTTTTTTTTTAAAAACACACACAGTGGTATTTAAGTCAGTGTTTTCAGGCCTGCTAGCTTTGTCTTTATTGACATCACTTTAAAGCTAAAACAATTTTTTATCAGATTCTGGAATTACCCGAATCCATTAAACAGTAACAATGCACATTTTGATGTTCAGAGGCAGTAACCCTACTCAATCACATTTTTCTATTAAAGACAAAATGGGGAAGAACATTTGGTACGAAGGTTTTACCATTTGCTTCAAAACACACACAGCTAACTTAGCACATGCTACCTCATGTAAAGAAACATCAGCACCATTACTATTATTTTGACAGGTATACTTGTTTACTCCATCAAACTGTCTGAAACATTTGAGAAATACTGGTATAACATTTTTCTCCAGAATGAATACAACATGGAACTAGACTCACAAGTTACATGCAAGAACTAGTGAAATTTTAGTACACCAGCAGTGCATCAAAAAAAATTCTGCTACCTGGGTCCCAATACTGGTTCATGAGAAGCTGGCTGCACAAAAGGTATTTAGGAAGACATACCTAAAGTTTGAAGCATTATTGTTTCAAGTATAACCAGCTCTTGAGCTTGCTGAAGATATGCCTGAAACAAACAAGCAAACATGTCAAGACACAGGTATTTACTGTCTCAATATTTCAATTATACACTTCCTTATTAACTAATAGGCATGATCAATATAAATTAAAGACCACTACCCATGCCACAGAGCACTGACAATTCAGAATGCTTTACTGTATCTATTAGTATGTTTTTGCAAATTAGTTATACCAGCTTAGCCACCTTTCATAGTAAAGTTTCTTTAACCTGCATTTGATACTTCTAGCAGAGTACTTTTTTTGAGAGTGGGGGATGTTAGACACATTGTGGAGGCTTGTCAGTGCTAACTAACTCAAGTATCAATAAGGAGGTTATGACAAGTACATTAAAATACAGCTGGCTGTACCCAACCAGCCTTCACCTGAGCTCAAATATATATCTAACACAGCTCCGTGTGTCACTTCAAGAACTGGGAGCATGGCAAATAGTTTTGATTGTCAGTTCAGGTCCAGCAGGGTGTAACTAGCTCAGCCTGACTGTTACGCAGAGTAACTGATGCATTTCCACCTTACTTCCTCATACATGTGGTTCTAAGAAGCATCATAAAAAGAAATAAAATGAGAACTATTAAGCAAGAGCTGTACAAAGTCTGGCAAATGCAAGGAAGACCAAATGTACAGCAGAAATGACACCTGTATAACATCCCTTAAAACACAGTGTAGAAAACAGCAAGAAGTAAGCCTCAGATTGAGTATTTCTTTGTCAGCATCTTGAACTCTACACGAAGCATGTAACTTATAGAACCACGCATGAAACCTATTTAATGTCTTGCATAGACTCCTACTATACCAGTCTTAGCAATAATGCAAGTTCAAGGAGGAGAAATCTCTCCAACTGTCATAACTCAAATATTCCAGTGCTCGATTAACTTTAAGTAATATAAGAGATCTGTATTACTTAATAGTTCAAACACACATTTCTCATTTGTAGATAGCAATAATCCAGTCAAGACAATGATGCTTTGTCTCATGTCTCTCATGATTATCTTTAAAACCATGACTTCGACCTACATCACACTTTGTATCCAGTTGTGGCTCATGAGGATGAAGACACGCATTTACTACTTTAATAACATGTTCGAGCTTCCGTGGCTGTTCTTCCACTTTTGCAGCCAAGAACAATGCCGTAGGAGATATAATCTGAAGAAGAAAAAGATGTATACTTTTTACAAATAGGGCTTAAATTTTCAATGGAGAATGTAAGCTAATAATTAGAAAAGGTTTAGAAGTTGAATTATTTGTTTTTAAGCAGTTCCAAAATCATGGAAGATGGTAAAAGTAACTCATCCTGCTTAAATTTGTAAGTGATGCAATCTTCCCAGCAGCATGTGAAAGGAGCAGCATAAAAGCTAAGTTGCATTATATTAAGTAAGTTATCTAAGGTCAACCTGATTCTAGCTCAACATAAAAACAATAGATTTAGAACAGACTTTTCAAGTTAAATACACTTGATGAGAAAGTTCATCTAAGTTCTAGCATATTAATGAGCCATCACAGATTTTTTTCAATACAGTCAAAAAAGCTGAGATCAAGTTCTGATAGCATGTGTTTCTCCTAAAAAGCAAGCAACTCAGCAGAGAACTTTAAGAAAAAGAGCTCACGTAACTACAGGTTATACAAATACAAGGATAGTAAGCATAACATCACAGCAACTGGCTAAACCAAGAATTTTAATCCCAGAAATTTTACTATATACCCAGCTGTATCTGGAGAGCAAAGCACAAAGACTCACAAAACACCAGTTATATCAAGAGTTAGCAAAGACAAGTTATAAACAAAGATAACAATTTTATAGAACTCTAGGTATTGTAAGTTGGCAGCAAACCACCAGTTCACAGTTCCATATCACTTACAATGAAATGCAGTTTTTATGCCTAGCTGTCAGCTATAACAACTGATTTGTGCACAAATACGGTTAACCACAAATGACTTAAAAGAATCAGGGTTCTCTTTGTATGCAAAAGTTGCCCACATTAAACTCCAATTAAAATGATGGCAGAAATCTTCACGTAGATATCAGCAGATTAGATTAGTTAAAATTAAGCATTTATTCAGTAATTCAAAAATAGCTGCTTGATGAGTGTTTAATTAATGCACAGTGCTCATAGAGCAAGCATTGGATTTCTATTTAATCACTCCATAAAACTAGAACTGAATGAGTAGTCATACTTCCCCCTACATTTTTTCTTTGTAAGTAGCCCTTTGTTATGCCAAAATGAAACATTTGGTAAAGAAAACCTCCCAATATATGAAGGACTGCAATGAGCTAATCAGAATGGAACACGTAGTAATTACCTATAACATTTAAGGAGGCAAAGAGTACTCCCCTGATACAGTTGAAAGTTCCTCAAATCCCTCTGAAATATCCACTTGAATCTTAAGTAAAACTTGTAAATTGGCAGATTAAGGAAAAATTGACACCGTAAGAAGGCAATGTTCCCTTTGAGGCATAGAAGTGTCAAGCAAAAAACCTAATACTCTTAAAAAAAAACCCACCAAAATCCACAAACCAAACAAAACAAAAAGTCACAGGGAGCAAATTCTTTCACAACTGAGACAAAACTTCATTTTCAAGAAACTTGTAATCTAACCCTTACAAATGAATGAAAAAAAAAAAAGTCTGATGCCAAGCAGTACTGAGCAAAGCCACATTAACACTCTGATTTGATCTTGATTGTTTCTGAGAAATTTTTACCCACATTGTTTGAAATAAAGACATGAAATTCTGGAAGAAATTCCCTTTCCTGGGATACACTAATTAACATATGCCTCAGTTAAGCCAGGGGACAAACCTTTAAATACAACATGCAGCTCCTACAACAGGGCCAGCCTGTAACAAGGATTATGGTCTCAGAAACAATCCAGGCCTAAATTAGCAGAGGCCCAGCTACCCACAGAAACCCAAACTACTGAGAAGGAAATTAGAAACAGTTAATAACAGAGTTGAAGAGAAACAAGTTTGACAGCACAGTGGACAAACATGACAAGGTATTCATGAGGACACCAGGCAGACTAACAGGCTCCATTTTTTAACTCAATGAAAAGACAGACAATGAAGTAGACTTTGATGAACTGAAAACTGAAACTGCCATGGAAAGGACTCAGCACAGCTGAGTCACTGAGAAGGAAAAGAAAACTAAGCTATGTCAGAAACAGGCAGGACAGCGGGAAGAAGTTTCAAAAGGAAACTTCCAGCTTTTCTTGATGGTAGTTTTTGTCTTCAAACCAGATATTTGCAGAGTGCCTTACAGCTGGGGTGAAGAACAACAGAAGCTGATTTTGCCTACCCAGCCAGCAAAAGCAATTGCACTGTTGTTCTCTCACTCCTGCTTTACCATCCCCTCCAAGGATAATATTGTCCCTTGTTCTGGCATTCAGGTCTTGGTTTTTCTAACTTTGCGTACAAGTTTAATTCAAATATATCCTAATAAAAATTCTATTTCTACACAATTGGTAGGTGAAGTTCCAAATCCCACATGGAAATTTCCAAATTTACTTTTTTGAAAAATACAACTACTAGAAATTATTATGGAAATATTTACATTTCAGAGACATTCTTGAACCAAACCACCAAGAACTACACAACTAAGTTATCAGCAAATTCTCAGTCAATAATATTTTATGTCTGACTACAGTTAAGCTTTATTTCATTCCAAAGAAGCCCAGCACTCATCAGGGTGACTTCAGGATATTTTGTAATTTACCAAGAGGCATCACTTCTAGTCAGGAAGCCTCCTCACCAGGACCTTACACAAAATGGTTCTGCAGGCTGATAAAAGTCAACCTGGTTAACGAGTATTTAGCTCTGGTTCATCAGAAATCTACACACGCCACAATTATCTACTTACTTAAAGGAAGTGTTGGCTTCTGGCCAAAGAATTTCAGGTCTTTGTCTTGGCTAGAACTAGGGTTCACTTTCCCAGTTTGGAGTAGGTCAGTACTTTTGTCTCCCTTGATTTGAGGAAAACAAAACCCTTATAAAGTTTTGGACTTGGCATGCACAATCTTCAGCGAAGAACACATCGCCTTCTAAGTATGTAACTTCAAAATTACTCATTCAGCTTTCATTCACTTCTAACTCTTAGAAGTGAGAGAAAAAGTATTAAAGACAGATTTGACAAAGCTGTAAGATTCTTATACACAAGCATCCCCATTTGACATAAAGCCAAATAAATTATCACACAATCAAAATATGTAAGATTAAAGCATCATCTTCACTTGTGAAGTTACATCCCACTTTCCTGCTAGCTCAGAGAATCAGAACCCAAGTGCCAAGAAAATAAAAACACAAAACATACAAGCATCATTATTATGACAGCCAAGGGGCATTATACAGCAAGTTTTATTGGTAGAAGTGGTACAAGTCCTTTTTCACAATAAACAGTACAAGACATCTTGTAAAGACAATGTTGCTACAAGGAAGACATTTAGAATCATCTCAGAATACATCTCCAGTGGGAACACAGTTTTCTAAGAACTCCCTTTCCATGTCAATATTACCATGTTTTTAAACATTACGTATATGTGTAGTTAAGACAATGGATGGTTCCAGTCTATGAGTCTATGATGGAGCTGCAAGTACTACTCTAAAAGCTGAGTTTTTTTTTTTTTTAATCATTACTACCAGCAGCTTATATTCTATAAAAAGAACTAATATATTAAAATGTAAGAGTAAAAACAACTCAAGTGCTCAAAAACAGTCTCTCTAAAGTTTGGCTTGTATTATGAAAGGTCTGAGAACTTGCACAGCTGCAAAATCAATTATTTAATATTGCAGTTTGGATGGGGTACAGAAAACAGGAATGAAACAGAGGAATGGGAAATAAAGAACCCCCGCAACCCCTGCACACTCAACCACCTACCTTGCACTTCAGGAAAAATTCCTTCTGTAGTCTCTCTTTGGGCACTTTACTATGTCCCACTGTGTGGTACAAAAAAAACTTGACATCATCAACTAGTTGTTTGGTATTCCACATGGCATTTAAGGATTAGATTTAAAAATACAACTATCATTTGGATGCCTTACCTCTCATCTCCAGCATATCACAGATTCTTCCCCCTTCTGTTCTTGAAATCACAGTGTACCGAATAATTTGCTTCTATAAATGGCATTGGCTATATAGCATCAGATAAAGTACTACAGGAAAACTAAAAATCTTCTGTAAATACTATTTAAGATGTTTTAAGGTATCACTGTAACAGGCTCATACTTTCTATACAAGCCAGCAACTCTTCCACCCCCTGATCTTAGCACTTGTTAGCTGAGCATAAACGTAGTCAAAGTTGCTATGCCCCAGTCATTGCTAACAGAATAATTTGTACTACTGCTGAGAAGATTCATGCTGAAATGCAATTTGCATGGCTAGATTAGTAGTCAGCACACCCATTTCTGTTTACCAGCTTCAAGCAAGTTTCTACCACACTGCTGGAGCACATCAACTGCACAGGGTCTCACCCTGCTGTGCATTCATTATGCTGGAATCATTGTAACTGAAAGCATATTCTTTGAAGATAAACCATAGTATTTGAAAAGTGGCTTGCTAACCCACAGCAATACTCTAGAAATGTGGACATTAGGTCTTCAGGGCAGTAAATGCAATATATTCAAAATGGACTGGCCACATTTCTATGTCCCACCCCTGTGAGTCTAATGAATGAGAACACTTGTTAATTCTGCTTCCTACTCACAGATGATTCTCAAAATCCTGGAAGCATGCAGAATTATTAAACAATAATTTATTATATTTAGGAAAAAACAACAGAATTAGCACAACATCTATTCAGCAAATTACCTTCCATAAAAAACTTGTTTATTAAAACAGTGAAGTGCATATGACATTACACGTGTATCCGCATAACCCGACAACCAACATAAACAGTCCAGTGTTTATTACTCAGTGAAAAACATTAACCTACCAATAAAGCAAGAAAAGAGTCTAAATTTCATTCACTGGCAGATCATAATAAATTCCAACCAGCGGCTGTCTACATTCCTATCCTCTGCCTTCCTTCTTTCCATAGATAAATATCACTACATGCACGCATGAAGAAACATAACCGACTTCCTCCATAGACTATTTTAGCTTGGTCTCAGCTTCAAGACTGACAGTACTTTATTACTTAACTTCCAAGGGGATTTGTTTCTTCTTGCAGCAGATAAACACTGTTAACTTTTTCAGCTTGCCAAGTACTCTGGAGATTTGATATTAAGTATTTATTACAGACCCTGGCTTTTGCTTTCTCTACAGAGAACCTGCCAGATGGCATGGCAATAAGAATTTTAAAAGCCGCTCACGTTGAGACCACCCCCTTCTCCCTAGAAGAATAGTGAAAAAAAAATCTAACTTCTCCATCAACACACACAGAAAGTTACTGTCTGGCTTAATTAAGAACTAGAGAAAGTTATCCAACAGGAACCAGTATTTCCCTGTGCTAACTTACAGTGTACTAGCTTTAAACTTTCACTTGAATACTGTTACCCGAGATTACACATAGCAATACAATTTCTTCTCCTTTAACATCTGGAGTCCCAATGGCATTCAGCCATGTCATGGCTTACTTGTGAACTTTAAGCCTCACGAATATATCGTAAGGCTGGTTTTCATAAGGAGGGCACTGTGTATCCAAGTAGTACCGTGCTGCCAGTTCCAGGTGACCTGGCATTTTCTAGCATCTGGTGAAAACCAGAACACAGCAGCAAAAGCTTCTTGCTACATAAGTCTATCCTCAATTACTAACTGGGAGGGCAAGCACTAATCCAGCAGGCTGTGTGTGACAACACAAGCCCTTGCTGGAGCACCTCTCAATTCCAAGCAACTACTTAGCTTACCAAGTCCACAAACAGCCACAGAAGGCTCTGAATGCAGCACCAGCTCCAGGTTACTGCTCCACTGGTAGCACCATACACAGAGGCAGAGAAGGACAGGAGAAATGTTTTACTGCCTTCCCTTGATTAATTCAGAAACACTTCTAAAGGACATACTAATCCTTAAGGTCCCTTCCAACCCAAACCAGCCCATGATTCCATGACGTTTAATTACAAAGCCTGCTGGAACTTATTTGCATGAGTGCTATTCTTGGTCTAAAATTAGAAAGCAGTTCTAGGAAAGTAACTTTTGATTGGTACATACATCAGTTCAACAGATACCTCTCTATCATTACATGAGCAAAACATATATCACATATTTCTTCCTGTTCAAGTTTCTCAGACTGATGGAATCTGAGGTTGTACTTACAGGCTTAGCTATTATCCCCAGGACCTGTAACACTACAGTCTTGGTGCCAAGCCTGCTACAGGAGTCTGAATTTACTACAAGCTTTGCACAAAAATAATTCCATACCTTTCTGAAGTGCGTCTACAGTCTGATACGCATGCTTGCTCAATAAACACCAAATAAGACACCCGTGTGCTTAGCCAGTAATGACAGAAATGCAACATCAGACAAAGGATACCACTGTAACCTACTGTGATGGCTACCTGCCCACATTCCAGACAGTGTGAAGTTTGCAACGTTCTACCTCTGGGTAGACCAAGGTCTTTTCCGGCCTAGATCCTAACATCTGTCACACTCTGCATTTATTTCTTTTATCAAAACAAGCCAAGATCTGAGGAAAACCATCCTCATCACTTAAAGACCTCCTACTATTGCCATTCACTGTTCTTGCAAAATCAGTACTAAGTCTTTAAAAAAAAAACAACAAAAAACAACACAAGAGAAGATATGAAAGAAGCCTAGAATACTGTATTTTTTTTTTCTGATGTCTGCATCTGATACTGTTGTAAAAAAAATAAAGTCTTCAAAGCAGTACCTTAAGTTCCATAGTTGCTTAAACAAAAACACTCCCCCAAAATAGTATTTTTCCTGAAGAATTCTGTTCTTCATAACGCACACAAGTATTCAAACTCAGCATGCTTATTTCATTAGCTCAAACAAGACAGTGTTTTCTTATGAGCTCATTAGATTTTTCTTGTCTAACACAACTTATTGTCAGACTACTTGAAGACAAAAGTGGCTAAGCACACTTACATTAGCTTTCAAGAACAGAAACACAACCCATGCAGCCCCACGTATAACCGTATCACAGCTGCCAGCACCGCCACTCCATTCACTAACAGCACTCCTATGAGCACCAGCCAGATTCACACCGAGTGCATCCTGCACACACGTGAGGTGTCTGCTGAAGTTGCCTATTGTTAATTTCGGTGGCAGAAGACAAAAACGTAATTGCTACTTGATCAAGTAACTCGGACCTGAAGAGGAACGATCGGCGCCGGACCCAAACCACTGACACAAAGCCAGAACGCCTACAAACACACCCAGCTCCACAGCGCAGCCCAGGCACGGAGCACGTGTCAGCTGCACCGCCGAAATTACGTGCATGCGATTACCGCATATAAAACCGTACTTACATTTCGATTAAATTTCGTGAAGGAGTGATGCATATAAAACCTGTGCATGTAAACAATTGCGGTGTTTATCGTCAGCTGAGATCTGGAGCACCGAATGAAGGAAGCAGCAACAATAACAAACGGAGATGCTGTTTCTACACGCCGCCTCCAGCCGAGCCAGCCGGGCACGGCAGCCGCCCGGAGCCCCGCCAGGCGGGCGGGCAGCAGCGCGGAGCGCCGCAGCGCGAGCACAGCGGCGAGGGGAGAGCGGCTGCGAAGCGCCGGCCCGAGGGCCGCCGTTCAACTCGGGCACCTCGCTGCCGGATCCCGGGCTTCGCTCCGCTTTGTTCAAAGCCCGAAGCGACGCTCAGAGCCCCGCCAGGCCGCGCCGACAAAGCTCGGCCCCTCCTCCCGCCGCGTCCCCGGGCCCGACCCCCGGCAGCGGGCAGCCCCCGCACACGTGCAGGAGGCCCCGCCGGGGGACGGCGGCGGACGAGGGCGGCTCGCGGCCCCGGGCGCCCAGGCCCGGCCCGACTCTTCCCTCCCCGCCCGGCCCCCGCCGCTCGGATACACGTTGAGGCGCTGGCCCATGTCTTGAATGAGGTTGGCCGCCTGCTGCCGGTACGAGAGCTCCTTGTCGGCCTCCACGCCGCAGCGCCGCGACGGCGTGTTCTCCAGCTGCTCGCGGCTGAAGAACCAGCGCGAGGCCGCCGAGGAGCCGCCGCCGCCCCGCGCCGAGGTGCCCGCGCCTGTGCCCGCCGCCGCCATGACACTTCCTCCCCCTCCTCCTGCGGCCCCGCCCGCCGGCGGCAGCGCCGCGCCCGCTTCCTCCCCTCCGCCCTCCATGGCGGCTCTCGCGAGACGGGACGGCCCGCCGCCTATCTACTCTCGACCATAGAGTCCGGCAGCGCCGCGGCAAGAGCGTCGCCACGCTCGTGCGCGTTCGAGCGGTGGAGCCGTCACGTGGCCTGCGGGGAGTCATGGCTCCCACGTGACGCGCGTAGGCCAACCCGCTAGCGTAAGCCGACCCACGAAGCGGGGCAGCCGCAACAGCTACGCAATCTCCGCAGCCGGCCTCTGCTAAAGAACCGGTCTCTCTCTCCAGAGTACGGAAATGACGTAGGCCCGCCCCTCTTCGCTGCTGGCTGCCCGGCGCTGATTGGCTCGGCCCTCCCCTCGCCCTCTATGCCCGCCGCCGGTCGGCTCGCGCCGCGTGAGCGGGCACGCGGGAGGGAGGGGTGAGCGGCGGAGCAGCCCGGGCCGTCAGCCCGCGGGTGAGGTGTGCTGCGGCCGGCGGGCGTACCGAGCGGACATTGTGCGTGCTCCGAGATAGTCTCGGTAGCGCCTGGGATCGCGGAGTCAGTCAGTGTCCGGGGGAACAGACAGGTACTGCTCAGTGCTGGGGGACCGGGAGAACCTGAAGGGTGAATGACGCTGGTTTAAGTGTATGGAGAAATCTTATTTTCCTCTTAAGCCCATTTAAGTGTCCGTGAAAGTCAGTGCGCTACAGGAATGAGCGAGTTGCCATTCCCTTCCTTGGGCACAGAATTAAAGCTGAATCTAATAAAGCAAACGGGGGTTTCGGAGCTGTGAAGAATTGCTCCGTCCTCCGCTGTGCGCGGGAAACAACGGCGCGCGGCGGCCGGCCGGCTTTGTCCCACAGCGCCGCCGCGCGGGAGAGTCGGGGCGGCCCTGAGGATTCGGTGCTGCTTCTGAAGCCGGGCCTCCGCGGGATCTTCGGCGTTATTCAAACTGCTTTCTGCTAAGGCCCAAAAATTCCAGAGCGTTGCCGGCCTTGAGCTTATCCTGTAAAAACAGAACAGTGTGTATGTTTGTGTGCGCTCGCTCGGACGGAAAAGCAGATGTCTGCGTCCCAAGGCTGTTAGCCGTGCTTTACAGCGCCCTCATGAGCTGAGGTAGAAAAATCGAATGGCCTTGTCAGCCCTTTGCAGAAATCTCTGCTTCTTTTTCTCTTCAGGTCTAAAATCAGAGACTTCAAAATGAAAAAAAAAACAACAACAACCCCACCCACAAACCAAAGCACATCCAAAATCAAAGCAAAAAACCCCACACCCAAACACAAAGATGATACCTTCAGTTTATTGTCAAAATCGTCCATTGAATCAATCAGTTTTCCGGGTTCGAGTTCCCCCAGTGGAAAAGGGTAATCTGTCCCTAAAAGAACTCTGTCCTGGTAATAAAGAAACACATTGTATGTTTTGTTGTAGCAGGAAACAACACAGTTGCACGTTCTTTCTGGAATATATAACAAATCACAGGGAAATACAGATAAGAACACGTAAGGAACTGATGAATGATGAAAGTGAATGCGAAGGTAGTTCCTAGATTCCAGAAACAAACCCAGAGCTACAAAACAAAGACTGGAGTTTGTTGGTGAATTTAAATTTGAAATAAACTATTGTTTGTTTCATAGTCCTGAAGGACCATGAAAGCTCCTGGCAGATTTCTGCAAGTGTCCCAGGAAAGCTCTTTACCAAACACTGAAAAGATGCTTGGATTTGGATTGTTGAATTTGAAATTCTGAAGGACACACATAGCTGAACACTCGCGTTCACGCAAACATACATTTATATTTGAGAAGGACGTGTAATAAAAAAATACCATCAATCAAAATGATCTTTTCTGTAATACTTCCAAAGGTGTAATAATTGCAATGTGGTGTTCCTTAAAATGTGGTAAAATGGAGAATTATTACAAACATACATTTTAAAAGCATACATTCAATTGGTATTCAGCTTCAGCTCGTGAAACCAAAATCTCATTTACAGATTTCATATGTATTTTTCAGAAGTCTATGTTTTTTTAAGTGTTGTGGTCTTTGCCTACAACTGGGTATTAACTGTGAGTATGAGACATATGTATGGGAATGTGAGTGACATGATTTCATTTATTTCTGAAAGAAGCAGTCAGAGAAAAGAAAATTGAGTAAAAATCTGCATGGATCGTTGCTGGTATCAGAGATGAAAATAAATAGGCAGAGCCCCAATGGATCCTCTTTGTGATAGGTTCATCTCCACTCTGCATTGATTTTTCCTCGTATCGTCTGCTCTAGGGAGTGAATATTGCCAATTCACTTGATCTTATCAGAACTCTATTTGCTTTTAAGCTTCATCTCCTGCCAATGTGAATATTTGAAAGCCAGGTTTTTCATTAAAAATGTCTGTTTTGAAATGTCTCATAAATTTAAAGTCAAACTCATGAATTCTGAGGGGCTCATGACAGTATTTGAACTCAGTTACCATTACTGAAAGAAGACATTTCAGTTATTATAGTAACTAATTTTGACAATTGCTGCTTATTTACTTGATCTCCAGTAGATGTCACCCGAGAGTTCCTGAAAAACCCCTCAAAACGGGCGATACAAACTGTAGACACGAATTCTATTGCTCTGTTCTATATGGTTGTATTAGACTTTATTACAAAAATCTCGCCATAAGATTAGAACAGGGGGTTTTATAGCCCTCTGTCTACTGCAGCAGTTTGAGTGCAGATTGAATAAAATATATTTCGATGCGTGTACAATTGAACAACTAAATACCTTTTATTTACAATGTTCAATTGGATACCAAGGTATTTCCTGAACATTTGAAATACCAACGTATGGCATAGTTCAAAACCAAGCCAAATCAATAAGCATAATAGCTTTATAATAGACAATGTATTTCTTAGTAAAGGAGAAGAAAACCCAGTACCTTCCCAGATGCTTAATAGTTAAGGTTAAGTAGGCTGGAAAGGCCTGTAAATTCTTGTCTAAGGTTCAAAGAAAGAGATCCCACCCCCTCATTGGAACAATCTGCATATGTTATTTTAATCATTTTTGTTTTTTTCCTCTAGTTTAAAGTGTTTCACAGCTAATTATGTGTTCTATTCATAGGCAGCAAAATTAAGAGCTGTAAAATAATGAGAAAATCTAGAAGCAGCATTATTGCTGCTATTTATTAGGCCCTTTATAATCCAAGCATCAGTTTGTGCCCACCTATAGAAAATGAGAATTGCAATCCTTGTCTGTATCCAGCTGGCCTTAGAGAAGTTCTCCAAGTCTTTGCAGATGAGCAATACTCCTAGCATGTTAGCCATGCTAATAATAGATAGTAGTTATCTATTATCATGTTATGCCAAAGGATATCAGTAAAGTTCATTTTCCATAGAAGACCTTAAGGCCCAGTACCTCAATAAAGCATCTCATTTTTAGGAAGGAGAATATGGCTGATGATTAACCTCAATGAACCCTTATACCCAACAGCTTTTTCACAGTAGTACAGAGTCTTGAAATGAATCTCAGAAATTCTTTGGGTCCTTCCCCTTAGTGAAAAATTGTATTTGCTTCTCTCCTGCTGTCAGGATACATCTGCAGAAAAGACCAGATTGCTAGAGCCAGTTCAGCTCCAACTTCTGGATTGAAATTGTTTTTTTACCTTCTGTGATGGCTCTGAAGGAATCACCATGGGGAAATTTCTGCAGAGAGAAGCTGAATCATTTAATTGTCTGTCAACTCGGTTCTTTACTTTTTATACCCAGTACCACTGGGGAATTTCTGTTTAGCTCTATTCGTGCTGCTTCATCATGGGGAGTAACTTTGCAGTCTTAAAAAATGATTTCTCAGAAATGTTTATTTTGGCTTCCTTAACTGGGCAAGTGTCAAATTAACCTGTACCCCAAAGTAAGAATGGATGAGATTAAACACACACGACTCCGAGCTGTAGCTGGCTTTTAATATTCATACCCTGAAGGCCCACATGACGTTCTGATGCCAGGTAACGGCTGTTCCCTAAGGACCTGAAGGCACGTGTGTGGAGATCTGTGCACACACCGCTGCCCTTCCTGCACAGCTCTTAGCAGTGCTCCAGAGAGCTGTCCTATTTCAAACCTTCAGCTCATAAAGTCACAGTATCATGTGTGAGATCACATTGCTTTTAGCCCAGAATTTATTTATCTTACACTTGTTATTCTGCTAATACTTCATGTGTTAGCGACTGTTGAAACGGTGTTATGTGAGAATATCAAGTTTAATGGGAAAAAGAGGGATTTAGAAATTTTCATAGTAATGAAGTGAGGCTTGAAAATGTGATGTGGATGTTTCTTCAAGGATAAGATGCTGTAGGCTATGAAAAAGAGAAAGAAAATGCACTGCTTTCCAAGTTCTCCTAGTTGTTAAAAGCATTTTGGGGATCTGATTCGTGGCTTTTCAGCCTGGTTGCTCAATATTGCAACAAGAAGTCAAATCTGCTGTTTACATAGAAATAACTCTCGTGTTCTGTTTCACTGTAAGGAAAAAGGAAATCTCATTCTAATTAAACTACTCAGTTACTTGGAATGAAATCTTGCTTCATAAGTAGTTTCACTGTAATGATGATATCAACCATAAATACATTGCTATCTCTAACAAGTGCATCTTCTTGGCAGCCTAATTTTTTGCTATTCTGGATATGGAATTCTTTGAGCAGGAAAAATTTTAAATAAAGTAAAACAGGCATGGCTAATTACATTACCAGCACATGCACATGGCCAACTGAAATATAGTCATGTCAAAGATTGTATGACTTGTAGATGAAGCAGCTGTAGACAGTTTTCTGGCCCTGAAGCCAACCACCCAAATACCAACCGAGTCTTCTTCCCTCCAAAGACAAGGTGGTTGCATTTATTCTGTTAAGAAATTTGTATGCTGGGTGTGCTGGTTAATGTGAAAAATGGACATAAAATACGTGGTTCTGTGAAGAAGACACTGCACATGAGGACACACTGAAAAGGCAGAGATTTAATCCTTGTTTAAGGTATCAAAAACAGATGATGCACCCAACCTAGCAAAGAAAGCTTCATGCCATGAAACTGCAGTCATTTCACTGAACAAAAGAAGTCTGCCTCCTAAATTAGAAAGAAACAGGTACTGGGGTGTGTGCACTGCACAGCACGTCCTTTCAGTATGAGAACATGAAGCTTTCTTGGCCCACTAATTCACCACATTCACCCAATGTGCTACAGATGTTGCTACAACTCTGTCTGGTGGGGAATACAAAATAAGGGATCTCTTACATCTTTCCACTCCTGTTCAGATTAATCGTACCCACTTCACCTCTATACTGTCATAGAATCATAAAATCATAGAGTGGCTTGGATGGGAAAGGACCTTAAAGATCACGTAGTCCAACCCTCGTGCTTTGGGCAGGGTTGTTTCAAGGTTCCCTTGAATGCCCCAGGAATGGGGCTCCCACAGCTCTCTGTGCAGCTGTGCCAGGGCCACACAACTCTCTAAGTAAAGAATTTCCTCTTAATATCAAATCTAAATCTCCCCTCTTTCAGTTTAAGACCATTCCCCTGACCTATCACTATCAGACTGTGTCTGGGTAGAACTTGGCAAATGCCACCTGAGTTAATAGCCACTGATGTTATAAGAGCTTTCCAGTTATTAGCAGATCTTTTGACAAGTAAACTGGCTGGGCTTTGTTTCACTTGTTTCTAAAGTAACTAAGGCTGTGATATAGTTTCTTCGGACATTTTAAGAGGCTCCTCCTCCAAATCCATTTTTGATCCATGCTGGATTTAAGAAATAGATATTCTCCCTCTTTTCCTTATAGCTGTAGTGTTACTGCATGTGTGTATACATACAATGTGTATATGCGCTTTGCAAAACTTGCCACAGTATTGTTTCAGGCTGTAGATGTGCTGTCAGTGTTGAATTTTTCATGAATTTTCAAATGTAGTTTTCCTAAAAAGCAAAAGTACTGCAGGGAAGCTGCAGGCAGAATTCCTATTTAAAAACTACAGTGAATAGACTGAAAACCTATTGATTTCAAATGGAAGAGATTTGGGCTCAGAGTTCCAAAGTATAGAAAAGCAATTGTTTATTCTGCTTTATTATGTTTTGGCCTAGGCAAGTCATTGCTGTATGACTTCTAGTATAGAATTATTTCAGCAGCCTGCTCACATTGTTAGAGATGAATATGGAAAACCAGCAGTGGCTTTTCTTTAGAAGAAAGAAAACACCTGGCTTAGTTGTTTTTCTGAACTTTGGTCCTACAAGAGCCACTGATGACAGCAGCCTCGTACCCTAGAAAGTACTATGTGAGCCTACAAACTAATGTGCAGGAAAGAGGAATACAGTTGTCAACAAGAAAGCTAATGTCAAGAGTTTGTATTTCTGTTTTTGTTATCTGGTGAGCTCTGGAGAACAAGACACAAATATAAGCCTCTTGCTGATTTATATCTATTATAAGGTATCTATTATACTGTCTTCCACATTTTCTGGAACATTTAGTAATAAGAAGGAATCATTTCAGTTACTAATAAAAAGAAATTATTTGAATGGTCTTGGATTTTTATGATCTACACAGTACATGATTTAAACAGGCTGCTGAAGTATAAAGATTTCTTCACTTTCTACTCTGATGATTAAAATATTGTTTGCAGGATCCCTACACAGCTGTGCTTTAATACTACCTTTTAATGCCTACAACATTCCAAGCTGAAATACTGTTTGATTTCTTCATATATGCTCTTGAAGAAGTGTGCAATTAAGCCATTTGAAAATGAGGCTCCAAATGATTGTTTTTGCTTTGAGTCTCCCCCTAAAATCACAGGATACCCCATAAGGATCACTGAGTCCAACACCTGGCCCCACAGAGGACCACCCAAAATCCAAACTATATCAGAGAGCAGTGTCTAAATACTCCTTGAAGTCCAGCAGCTCAGTGCCAAGACCACTGCCCTGCACAGCCTGTTCCGGGGCCCAGCCACCCTCTGGGAAATAATCTGTTCTTCACACCCAGCCTGACCTTCTGCTGACACAGCTCCGTGCCATTCCCTTGGATCCTAAATCCTGATCAACCTCACATTAATCTCTCTGAACTAGGGTTCACAGTGGATCATTTCCTAGATTAAAACCACCACTTAAAGATCTCCTTATTATAGTAAGGAACATTACCTACATTGCATAAGCAATTTGATTTTTCTGGGTGAATATGCTATTTTCATCCTGCTTTCTTACTCTTCTCTTCTTTTGCTATTTCACAGAAGGAATTAAATCCAGAATAACTCACCTGCTTCTGGAAGCATGAAAACTCACCTCTCCTATTACACTTGTTAGGAGCCTTAGTGCACCACGATCATGGACAAGAGAGTCTGTGTAAAATGAACCGAGGTATTTTCTTGGATCCACCTTATTATCCATTGCACACAAATCGGGGCGCATGTTGAATCCATGAGAGATTCGCCCCACTGTGTATGGAAAGGTACCTCCTGCAAGGAGCAGTTTTTAGCAACAGAAACTGAAAATAAGTAGGAGCAAAAACGGAGACATACATAAGTTTTATTACTAACTAACTAGAGAAGAAGGGCTCTGCACCGACATTCTTTTATTCATTCCCTTTCATTACCTTCTTTCTCTGTTTTCCCACTTCTTTGCTACAGTGACGCCCAGATTCTTACTGCTCCCTACCCATAAACTGCCTCCCGCCTCCCTTTACATCTCACTTTCCTTAAAGGCTGTCATAGCTGTTCAAACACAGGCTGAAATAAGAAAGAAAATGTTTGTATGAGCAACCTATCTGGCACATATCCTCACTGTACTCAGTGAGGGGCAGGCTTAAAGTAGTAATGCCATTATCTGGCATACCAGAAAATACAGTTATACTCTCTCAGCTAAAGAACAAGTGTATTGCTTACCTCCATGTGCAAAGCAAACTTTCAGCTTAGGAAATCTTTCAAAAATTCCTCCCATAATCATGGAGCAAATGGCCATGGTTGTTTCTGCTGGCATGCCTAAGAATTAAAAAAGCTTTGTCAAGACAACCCTTGCGTTTTAAATGTTATCTTCATTTTCTTCAATACACCTTGAGCCTACTGAAAAAAATTAACAGTTACAGAGCAGCTGCCAAAAGTTATGCGTTATTTCTGTTAAAGGAACACAGCCTTCTATACTAATTAACTGAAATGACACAGAACTAGAAGCTGAGATCAGCTGAATTCTAAGCCCACATTCTATCTTACACCATGAGGTCAGCTGGCTGGTGTGGGCATGGGGTATGGCCTGAACTGCATAGTACTGACTTGGCTTCCCAATTTTAGTAGGAATTAGGCCAAGTTCTCTTTTACCTGTGCTTCTGAGTTTCCTTTGTGTGGAAAGTGGGGCAGCTATGCTGGTGCATATTCCAACACAGGTTTTAATATGATGTCATGTCAGTTCCCACTGTATTCCCACAATACCTAATCTCCATCTTTTGCATTGGGTAGCTTGGATACCCAGTGTTGGGCACCTAGCAACAATCTAGGTTTCAACATCAAGTCTCAGTTTCTGAGCATACTTGATATATTTATAGTATCACCTTATTTTGGTGCATAACTTTAGACATCCATCTTGGAAATTAGAAACTGTTGGAGTTCCCCTCTTTTAAGGGGAAACAATACCTATCCAGCACAAAAGGGTGTCTTTATTTCATGTCTGTACTGTACTCTCAGATGCAAAGCCCTATGGACTTATGAGGAAAATCAGATTATTAATGCTGGTAGGAAGATGTAACAATTTTAATATCTTTTGAAGTCTGTTTTGTAGAGCCTTCTCTGAATAAGAGCAACCGATACTGTACTAAAATAATGCACTCTTGGATGGGACACTGCTTTTCAGAACATGCATCATTTGCATACTGTATGTATATTGTACAGAACATCTCCACTGGAAATCATGAAAAAGAGCAAGTGAGGGTGGAATCAATCTAAAAAATTTCTAAGTAGAAATTTAACATATTTCCTTTTATTCAGCGTCATCCTCATTTACCCAGCTGGTGGGAAATAAAAGACAAACCAAATGAATTCCCTCCATCTCTGGGGAGCTTCCAAAGTACAAGTTGTTTCAACTATTGTTGATGTGAAGTTAGATTCAGTATTTCCTCACCAGTCAACCTATTACTAGGAAACAGTCCGAAGAAATTCTACGAAGTAGTGTTTGTTTTTGCTCACTTTACCTGTTCTTCATTTACTTGTATTAGTTTTTTGAGACTGCATTTCAGAGACAGTTGATTTTTCCCCACTCATTTGTTCTCTGTATTTAGGACAAGAGAGAATACTATATTCCATCACTAGTCTTATTAATTTCAGTTCTAGATATAAAGTTAGGCAAATTATATAAGCTTAACAAGAAATGCCTGCTGGATTTCCACAGCAAATATAATTGTAGTGCTTCATTTTAAAGAAAAAGCATGTCATTTTTCTCTGTACTAGTACAATCATGGCGATCTTCTGGGCATAATCCAGTGACAGTTTGCAAATATAGATTAAGCAAAATAAATATACACCCACCTATCAGCCAAGGAAACCAGTATTTGGACATCCTTCCATCCTGCTGCATGTCCCAGGGGTGTACAAAAAGGCAGCAATTTAGTTGTTCAGCGGCCTGCAGCAAAAATAAAAGATCTAAGTCTTTTCTTAATCTTGCCAGAATACATCTTGGTTTTTAGTCATGTTTTAAAGGTTTCCTGCAAAATCACGCTGAGCATTAGGACTAGCACTGTAAATAGGCCCAGAAGTAAGAACTATAAGCATTATTTTGTTTTATTTTCTCCTCTGGTACCTATTCTGAAATCCTCACTCAGATTCGGAGTTCCTTTTGAGAATACAGGATTGGAAACATGGATGGTAATATCTGTGTAGAAAGCCAAGTGTTCCTCACACAAATGTGGTACAAAAGTACTTTTTAATGTCAGTCATTCTGCAGTATAAAACTTGGTTCAAGCAGGATTCTTTTGGCTTTATTTCACACATGAAGATCAATTCTAAAAATGTTTTATAGAACCATATTTGGTGGTTTTGTACAGTTGTTCCAGCTGCATTCAGGAATCAGATCATAGGGCTTGGATAGGACCTCTGGAGATCATCCAACCTCCCTGCTAAAGCACGTTCCTCAGAGTAGGTCCAGGTGGGTCTTGAATATCTCCAGACATGGAGACTCCAAAGCCTCTCAGGGCAGCCTGTTCCAGGGCTCTGTCACCCTCAAAGTAAAGAAGTTTTCCCTCATGTTCGTTGTTGCACTACATTTGTCCTTTTTGGCCCTTGATTGGCTTAAAAAATCTTAGAACTCCTAATCCACCCTGAGTTAGAAATCTAGCTGCATTTGATCAAGAAACCATGTCCTCACAAATACAGTAATTTCTCCAAAACTACTGATAACTTTGGAAAGTAAAGCAGAGGAACAACATAGGATGCTGATCCTGACTGAGTTATTTAAATATGTGCTTAAATTTAAGTATATAATAATCAGTCATTCATATGCTCAACCAAGATTTAACAGGTTTGTTTTGTCAGTTTTATTTCTGGACCTCCTCTTGTTGCTAAGGAGATTGTCACACTTTGGAAAAAATCAGGTTTATTTACCCATACTTACATAAATAAACATGCAACTTTTGGATTCTAAGGAGTAATGGTTATATACATTTGTAAATTGAAAATAGCAACTCAATAAGTGGCTTAGCAGACTGATCAATTTAATTAACTAGTGATTAGTCAGATGTAAGTACATGGTGTGCAAATGGGATTGTGCTGATTTCACTTGGATAAATAAGAAACTTGGGATCAAACAGTCACAGAATTCTCAGACTCCAATGTTATCTAACTGGTTTGAGCAGGCTGGATTAGTGAATTCATGAATTAAATACATTGGAGCTGCACTCTTCTTAAAAGTTGTGCAGTTTTAAATTAAAGTTCTTAGTCGTATGATGTCCAAGACATGAAATAAAATCGGTGAGAGTCTTTTGCAAATGTTCCTTCATTTACACTGAGCAGATTAGAAGGGTCCATTGCTTTAATGTATCTATACATTCAGCTGATGATCAAATATGTATCAATATACTTCTAGATAGAACTCCATGTCCCAGAATTCCCCCAAATAAGGAAAAAGCCATTTACTCACAGCATAAATATCATAGAGTTCTGGTGCATTCAGGTCCCACTCATTGACATGAGATCCTATTTGTACTCCTGGAAATCCAAGTTCCTTCACACACCGATGCATTTCCCTCACAGCCAGGTCTGGAGCTTGCAGAGGTAATGTACCCAAGCCAATGAACCTCTTGGGGTACTTTTTTACTGTATCAGCTAAGTCATTATTCAACATCTGGGATAGATCTAAAGTATCCTGAGGTTTCGCCTGATAAGATATTAAGCAGAATAGTACATTAAAATATAGTTCTCAAATGTTATCACCTTTGGAAGATAGTGGGTAAATGTCACTGCAAACAAATCAGAGACAGGGCTTGAAACTGAAATTTACTTTACAGTTCTGAATGAACGGAAATCAAATTTTGCTTTGTTTTAAATCGTCTGACTACAGTTCTTCTGTCTTGAATATTACCTCAATTGTGTCTGCCTTTAGCACTCAGGAGGAGCATAAGGCTGCCCATGTTGCTGATGCACGTGCTGATATATCTGTTTTTTTGTGTAAACCAGTCCTCTGTTTTTGTTCTTCCAAATGTGAAAACGTGAGCAAATCATTTTCAAACATAGCAATTAATATTTACCATCCTATCACAGAAGCTGAAGTGAAAAATACAAAAGACATGGGATGCTGGAGCATGGTAATATACAGAGAAAACAGAGCAAAGCTCTCTAACGTTTAGAAAAAGATAACAGTTACAATTCTAGTTAGAAACTGCAATATACACACAATGCATTTCCAGTTTTTTGTTTTTTGTTTTTTTTTCCAGTTCATACTTAATGGAGACAAGTCCCATAAATACCAGTGTAAAATTTTAAAGAATTTAAGATTCAGTAGTACTACTTATATGTACTTAACATTCAAACTAATTATGTATTTAGAGCACCGTATTGCTATGGTTTATCTTACCAGACTGTTCCTACTTCTTTGATGCTGTGCAGGGAACATATTAACTTAATTTTGCCACTGGATTTTAAGATTCAAAGGTCTCTGGGTTCTCCTCCCATGGCACATTTAAAAGAAAGTGAGACAAAATCTTTGAACTTTTAATGCTGCCTGATGCCACTTTCATGGGGTCAATCCATCAGTCCATCTTCCTGCTTACCAGGGGTTTGTGCTCTGTGAATTCTTTCTCCAAGTTTCCAGCTACCCACGTAAGATCCCCAACAGAAATTCTGTCAGTGTCTCATCCTTTCCTACTGGATGTACTGCAGAGTGGAGCCCTGCTGGCTCTTCTGATCTCTGGACTATTTTTAGTTTTGTTTTTCTCAGCAGAACAATTACATCTGTGCTCCAGCAACCATTTCAAACACATCATTTACAGGAACATACATTCTGGTTTTTTTTTTTAAAATTTGTAACATATGTATAGCAAAAAGTCCTAATAGGAACCTACCCAGTAACTGAACATTACAGGGACAGTGGAAAGGGCTTGGACTGTAACTCCTGAGAAAGAAAAAACAGTTATTAATGTTTCATTCTTTTGATAAAATGTTAAAAATAAGAAAGCTCTTTGGTTTGAAAGGTGGAAGCATAGAAAAGAAAGAATGAAATAACTTTAGTATGGATACAATCTGTTTTTTTGCTAATTGAGAATCATGGTAATAAATCTTGTGGTGTATCAGCTTACTAGGATTGGAATATTTTTACTCAGGAGGAAGAGAACTGTCATAGTAACAATTGGTTATTTTGTGAAACAATGTTTCTTCAAAAACAAATCTATACCATTGTGTGTGAAAGCGTAAAGAGTGAGCCCACCAAACCCAGTAAACTGACAACAGAGTAAATAACATACAGTGATTAGGACTTGCAGTATCTGAAGGGGAGCTACCAGAAAGAAGGGGACAGACTTTTTAGCAGGGTCTGTAGTAAAAGGACAAGGGGAGATGGTTTCAAACTTAAAGAGATTTAGGTTAGTTCCAAGGAAAAGCTTTTGCACTGAAGGTGGTGAGACACTGGAACAGGTTGCCCAGAGATGTGGTGGAAGCCCTGGCTGTGGAGATGCTGAAGGCCAGGCTGGACCAGGCTCTGAGCACCTGATCTTGCTGTGGATGTCCTTGTTCATGGCAGGGGAATTGGATTAGATGACCTTTAAAGGTCCCTTCCAACTCCAAAGATTCTGTGACTTAACTAAACAGTTACACGCAAAACTATGTTTTTCTTTAATTTCAAGCCTGATTGTAGCACCATCTCATATTGTAATATTTATGCACATCTTTTATTGTGCTTTTAAAAAATTAACTTGGCTATAAGCAATAAAAATACTAATTCAAAAGATGGCAATGAGTGCTACTAGATTTGTTCAGCACAGGGACTCCCTGTGTCTTTGTTAAAAAATGATGATGTACTTGGAAGATTATTTTTTGAGGTATGATTCTATATTGGTTTGTGCTACATAAATTGCCTTTGCACTACATAGCTGGAGCTATGTAAACTGAAAGGAATAAACATGACCAATAGACTTTATAATTAGAATGATAGGAACAAGAAACACTGTGTACTCCTTTATTTTCACACTTAATTAACTGATATCTGTGTCTCTGGAGTGCTACAATAAAAGGGGATATTTTTATGGTGCATGTCACCAGATGGTGCTGTAACACACAGTTTAAGATTATTATTATTATTACTTTTTTTAAGCAAGTGAGCATTGTTCAGTTGGTGAAGAAGTGTTGTGGTGCTGGTTTTATTTGGTTTTCTGATACGTTTTCTTTTCTGGACAGTTGTTGCAAAAAGTTGTAGAGTTGCTCCTATCTTTTCCTTTATCTACAGCAATTAGATGGGCAGAATTATTAGAAACTTGCCATTAGTGGTGCAGGAAATATTTGAAAAGGAAAAATGCTGAAGGGCATTGACACTGCAGTTGAGTACTGTGGTATTCCACAAAATCCCTGAGTTAACTCGAGGAAATGATTACAACCCAGTCAAAGCAGCACCCATTCCCACTTAAATGTCTGATGTTTGGAGTCTGAAGTTCTTCTCCAGGTTGACAGTGAGGCAGTTAAAAGCTATTCGAGTTGTGTTTTCCAGTCTGCCTGATGTTATGTATTTCAGAGTAAACTTCCATTAGGAGAAAAACCCCAAATATCTTCTAACATTCCAATGGGATCATTGGAAGAGTAAAATAATGATCATGGAGGCCTCAATCTGAGAACAGATAATCTCTAGTGAGCTAGCATTGCTCTTGCAAAAAGAATTTGGAATTACGGTGTCAGTAAGAACCAAGAAATCATTGATTTTTTGCTCATTCTGTCTCTGTGCAAATCTTATTTAGTGGCACAAAGAAACCTGCGAGAAGATGAAATTACAATTGTGGCATGTGGTTCAGTTTCTTTCTAAATCAGGAAACCTCTTTCCTGAGAAGATAATGGTAGAAGTTCTCTAGGCTCACAATCCTCCAGCAAATATACAGAAACAGAAAAAATATTACAAAAGGAAACAATTAGATTAAAAAAAAAAAAAAAAAAGAGCAGACTCCTAACATTTGGAATAAAAATGGAATGGTTTCCTCTTTCATGTACATCATGTCTATACCTGGAACGTCTCTTTTCAAGTCCAGATTCTGCGATCTGCAATTATGTCAGCCAGTTCCTTATTGGATTAACAATTTCACTGAAATCAGTGAGCCCATCTGGGCAATAAATTGCTACTGAATATGAGGAAAGTTACGGTAACACGTTCAATTTGACTCTGAATTATAAAACATATCAGTTTTCACTGTTTTTTAATGGATTTAAGCTAAGGAAGCAGTTTGATAAATCTTTTAATTTTGATATAGTTATTAAGCACTTTCAGATGCACTAACAGAGCAGTGTTCTGAATGAGACACAAAGATTTCAGTTCCTTTGTGGAGGTACCTGATAGGTCCATCTCTTTAATCCGTACCACTGGATCCCAGCAGTTCTCTTGAATAACTCTAAAAACCTTTCCATCCTTCATCATCTTTGCCTGTCCCTGTGAAGTAACATTTTCATATATTATAAATACGACATAGTAGTACATACTAATTTATATAGTAACTTTAATTTAGTTGTTTCAACTAAACTTTAATGAAAGTTTATCCCTAAACCACATACACACAAAAATAACGAAAAACAAACACACAAATCTAAACATAATATAAAGCCTCTACCTGATCTACTGTATACCTTCCTTGTTTGCCACCAGTTCCCAATCTTAAAAAATTCAAAATATTACCAAGGTCAGGAAATTTAGTATTGTTCCTTTAACTGTGAACATGGAAACATCCTTTTCAAACTTATTTCTTTGGTTGATTTGCTGGCTGTCCAAAGATGGTTAGTAGGACAGAGATGTCACATTAAGCAAAAGAAAATGTTTGCCACAGGTGTACGTGGCCACACGTCTGTATGTATTTGTAAAGACAGACAAGATGGTATTTCTATTGGCTCAGCACTGATTGATCATTTTTGGTGGCTTGTTGCTTCTTTGGGGCTAAGTGGAAATAGGTTGAGTCAGAAGATCTACTCCACTGTATGGATATGGGACAGGTAAATGTGGTCATGCTGGAGATGTACTGGAGAAGGAGATACTGGATTTGCAGTTGAAAATTGAAAGCCAGATAAACTGTGAGAACGCGCAGCAGTTCTTTCAGCTTCACAGTAAACACCAGCAAAGTGCAGGGCAGTCTTCTGCCCCTTCTGGAAAGGGAATTCTCTCTCTCCAAAGGCCATTTCATTTTTCCCAGCAAAAATCATTTGATTTAGGATCCTTAGAACACCTGTCTATTTTGCTAAATAAAAATCTGTTAAACTAGAATATTCCTACAATTATGTTAGAACAGCAAAAACCTACACAGTTCCACTATTCAGAGTGGAGCTGGGCTTCTGCCATCATCTTCTGAGAAGTCAGGCTATTCTTGCATTTGCTATTAATTTTAGACACTGCTCACAAAGATACTGCTCTAATGAATATTTTAAAGCATGCTTTAGCAAATCTAGCTGTGCTACCTCAGCAAAATGTCAAGTTACCTGTTAGCTGTATCACAGTTTGTGAAAATGACTTGAAATACTGCAATCAGTAATAACTCCATAATCCTAATTCTCTGGTAATACACTTCAAGTTCTTATAAAATTGATTTTCCAACCTGACAGAAAGTTTTACTCTAGCCATGCAGTCCATTATGTTAAAAAATAAAGATCAGCCCAATGCTGCAGATTGCCTAATAAATGGAAAAACATCTGGGGTGTGAGTAGAGAGAACAGACAGAGTAGAACTGAGCTGTATCACATACAAATAGGTTGTGTGGCCTTTACTGGTTTTCTGCTCGCAGTATTCCTGTGAACACAGGTGAATTTTAATTCTTTCCTCAGGCAAGAGCACAGCAGCTGAACTCATATATATTTCCTTCTGCTAATATTGAAAATAGCGTCGGACGGATTGTAATTTCGCCAGGAACCTTGACAGTGCTCATACATAAATGCTGAGATGAACAGTAGTTCTCTGAATGCTGCAGCAAGGTTTGCAATACAGGAAGGTTTTAATAAGCCCCGTGTTGTTCTCATTAGAGAGTTCACTGAGCAGTTTCCTATTTTCCTTTGCATTAACTGATTCTTTGTGAACAAAAACATCCTACAGGTCAAGGCTAAACTCACAGCATTGCACGTAAGCAACAATAGACTGGATTATGAAGGAAAGCAGAATGTGATGGTCTGAATAGATTCGTGCTCATGTCTGTCAGCACAGAAAGATCTGGCCCAGCAACAGCATGACTGGAAAATCAGTCATACAGTTATTGCCTCCAGACACTGCCACTAATCTGCACCTCATATTTTTTAAATAAGAAATTACTCAGACATCTCAGCTGGTGAGAAGTTTTTTGCAGTAGTGAGAATGAAACGTAGATCATGAAGAAATTTTTCAGGTTCCAAAGCAAGGCTGCTGGAGCTGTGCTGTGCTGTGCTATTCTTAACATTATCCAATATTTAAGACCTTAATTAATTTATTTGAACGTTAAGAGAGAGAGATTTAAGAATCAAGTCCAGGAGGCTGATTTGGTTCAGTGAGCTACACACATTTAAAATGACTGCATCACTAAGCTATTCAGTCACATCCCAAACTGCCCTTCTTAAAATATGCATGTAATTATTTTCTTTCATTGAAGCTTAAGGTTTAACTTTTAAAAAAATCTAAAAAATCTTCAGAGTTAACTTCCCTGCTTCATGTCTGACCAGGATTTTATTTTGCTGTGCACTTTTTTCATGCAACATTTTCAGACAGAAGTAGGCTAGGCAGAGTTCTCTGCAGAGAATATAAGGCTATTATTGACTTGCCACAGAGTTCCTCTGTGAGCTGTTTTTAGCAAGGAGGTTTAGCATGTAACAAACAGCTAAGCTGCTAAAACTGTCTCTGAGTCTCCCCTTCCTGCACCTACCAGAATCTCAGAATCTGTGCCATCCACACTTTGATTCAGCAGGTGGCTTGTTCTCTCCTCCCATGCCTGCTTAGGCTGAGATCTGAAATTTCAGGATGGTATTTGTTTGCTCCTCATTCTTGGTCCCAGCCTTCATATCTTGCGGCCCTCTTTCATCAAAGGCTGTTAGGCATTTGTTGGCATAGCCTTGCATATTACTGAACAACAACAGTGGTATTATTAGCTTGCAAGGAGTAGACACTTCCAGAATCTTTGTATTGTTCCTATTGTTCTTGATTATTGAAACTAATGTTTGTTCTCCTTCATCATATCATTACAGAAGTTAGTATTCCTCTTTGAAGTTCTTTCCATGATTGAATTCTTATTTCTTCTATTAAAATACCAGTTCCCTTTGTTTTTGCTTCTCATATAGATGATCACATTTATCTAAAAGAATTCTGTGTTATCTACTTTACGTAGACATGTCTTAGTAAAAACAACTCCTAAGAGCTATCCATTCCAAGTGGTTAGGTGATATTATGACAAGAAGTGGATAATGGTTCCTACCAGAGAATGTAATCTGACTTTATACTGTTTCATGTCTTAAGCAAGTTCTACAGAGACATATTAGAGCTTTGAGTGATATTAATTCATAAATATAGACCTATGGATAAATCTCTGTTGAAGACTCAGCCAATCACATTGCTACTTTGCTTTTTAATGGATTTCCTGGGAGTTTTTATTCCTGATTACAACACAAGACTGGCTTAGAGTACCAAACAGCCCAAACCTTGCAGTGATGATCCAGCTGTACCCATCCACCATATCCATATCTCTGTAAAAGAAGAGAAAGGCAGTGACCAGTTAGCAGTCTGTGATGGTCATAACAATGTCAGTTCTCACAGCCCAGCAGCTTCCTTATTCAGGAGACATACTCAAGCATGTAGCCAGTGTAAGCAGCCCCACTGATATCAGTAGAAATGTGAAAGCTTAACCAGGCTGGACCAGTTCTATTTGTAAATCTGAACTTTTAGCTTCCAGTTCAACAACGTTTTAAAGAATTAAAACTGATTTCAAAGTGCTTAAAGTTGCATACCTCATTCAGGTCCTAATTGGAGTAATATTTTAACACTGAAAAAAAAGTTGTATCAAACATGTGGCAGTGTGAAAACTGAGTGACAATTTTCCAATCCTAACAAAGTGTAATCAGTTAATCATTAGCACAAAAATGTATTGATTCCACTTTTCAGCTTCCATGATTCAGCAGCAGTACTGAAGGTCAGTCTCTCTCTATTAATATTTAAACAGCTGAAAGGAGAAGCTGAAAGGAGAAGCTTAGATGCTTGCTGATTCTTCTAGAGATTCAGTTTTTAAAGCACAACACAAATGAAGCTTATTTTGTTTCATTTTCATTAATTAAAAGGTTAGAAATAATGAAATAGCACAAACTGAAAACAATGCTCAGAATTCCTATTTTTATTCCTGTATTTTCCTATTAAAAGGAAACAAAGTAGAAGCAAAGATTTCTTTCACTGAAGAGTAAACAATGTGAATAGAGTCCAGTGTGATAAAAAAATCAATATGAAACTCCACCATCAGCTTTCCCACAGTAGGTGTGCAGAGGCCTCCTGAATTCAGCCAGAGGTACATTTTATTTAAATCTAATTATTTATAGCTTTATATAGATACTTATATATGTAAAGTATTAAAATTTATGAAAAATGCTATGACATCTAATAGCTCCATGTTAGTTACAGCTACAAGCTGCGCAGAAAATGAGTCCCTTAGAGGTGCTCAGGAAACTTGTAGGCAATAGGGAGACTCACTGCTCTCTGTTTGAACTCCTTTCCCTCTTTTTACTTCTCAGCTTTTAGCTGCATGCGTTGATAATCCTTACTGAAGAATTTCATTAATTTCTGTTCATTTTTATACGTATTATGGGCTCCTAAATTCTTAAATAATTATCTTGATAATAGAATGTTCCAGTCATAGATTCAGGATTTAGTATTTATCAGACTAAAAAACAGAAAGAAGTGTAGCACTATGTGTGCACACTAGGGTTGCCTAATTGGCCTTCTACACATGAGATGTATAGAGCTCTGTTAATGGCTTGAATTTTCACAGCTCCAGGGAATTCTGAGAGTTGTTTTCTATTCTGGGTCCATTAATAAGCCTTTAAAAAGCTCAGATTTTAGAACAGAGGTAACAAAAACAAGCAGGCAGAAATTAACTTTAAAAAATTTGGTATCAATCTCTTTAATCAGTGTTTAAACAAATGCAGCATTGGCCTACAGCTGACCTCAGGGGTAACAGCACTGATCTCATCCTTGACATACATTCATGAGCATCAAGGGATTCTCGAGGTGACTTCATCTCAGTGAATTTATTGTCCTTTTGATTTGTATATAGACAGAAAACATTTAAATCATTGAAGATCAGAATAAAGGTGTTATTTTTTATAAAGGATTTTGAGCAAAAAAGGAATAAAAATACGAAACAAGCAAGAGTAGTGTTTCTTTGCAGACTGGATATTCAAACCCCTACCCATTTAAACCAGGCATATTTGTTCTAAATGATACCTGCCATCTCATCTGCATTATCCAGCATATATGTTTTTGTCATCGAGGAGCTCTTGTAATTATAAATAAGAAATATAAATATTTATAAAGCCCTTCCTATAGGAAGGAAACATTCCCTTCCAGGAAGTTTTATGCATAATAATATTACTCTTTACTTCTAATGAAGAAATAATCTCATGTGTATTCTTAATTTTAGATTATCTCAGTACTTTTTTCTGAGCTGCTGTTTTAGTCTTCTAGCTGCTCTCTGGCTAACACCTGATACTGGACTGTCATGTTTAAAGTTGTAGACATACGGAGCTCGTGCTTACGAAATGCTTACCTGAGAATCTGCCATCATCAACCTCAAAATATTAAAGTAAAAGAGATGTACAGTGTAAAACAGTGTCAGTTAGTGTGTCAGATGCTTAAGAGCACCGCTGAAATAATGCTATTCTTTTGTGGTCACTGACAGGCACAATGAAATCAACTGGATCCATACCACTGGCAGACACAGCCAATGTTCAGTCAAGCTGTTGCCAACACAGAATTCCAATAAGAGAAGAAGCAACAATGCAGCTCTCACCTTCTCTAGTCTGATTCCATTAATGAAAACATTAAGGAGTTACAAAAAATAGCTATCCTAGAATTCTGAAAGCAATTTTTAATTGCAAACAATTTTGTAGGTATAAACAATATATAAATAGAATTTCATCGTGCCATCTTTACAGTACCCTTTGTAGCTTTGAAGATGTGATATCTTATGAGTCCAAAAGCAGTCATCCATCTTTATATTCAATGGTGATAATAATTATTCAGGCAACAACTCTACAACCTTGCTCAGAACCAGATGAGTACATTGCTTTTGATAACTTGAAGTAAGTAGAGGAGTAGAATTACTACATGAAAGCCTAAATGACACTTTCCATTCTCAAATACTTTTCACAGGATCATAAAATTGCTACTGGCAAGAATATATTCACACTATTAAATGCTAATAATAGTGCACCATGCAAAAATTCTGAGTTAAGACAAGTTGACTTATAGCTTCAGTGTTGTGACAACTGAGGTTTGTATCTGTAATACAATATGCTACTTCTTTCCAGCAACTGAAAATATAACAGATATTAGTAAAATAATCATAATCATCAGTTAGCTATAGTTGGAGTTAGCCAAGACCTATTGAAGTGAATAGCTCTCATGCCTCTGGGCACAAGATATGAATGACTTTTGTTCTAGGAAACGTTAATCTTGCCTAACATTTGCTTATTTTTCCATTTAAATTAGAAATGAACACCATTTGGGAATCTAACAGCTGTGGTTTCATCAAGAAAATGGAATTTATGCTTCATCAATATATAGTTTTAGGTCTCAGAAAAAAACAAAACAAAACAAAACAAAAAACAACCAAAACCAAGCAAAAATATAAAAATGACACCAGTCTAACTAGAGAGTGGGGAACACAGAAGTTTTCCATCCTTTTCTTATGGGGACTCTTGCTTTGCATAGCAATGTTATACAAATATCTTACATCTGAAAAAGAAAAGATCCAATTAGATAAAAACCTACTGAAAACAGGAATTGATAACAGAATCCTTCATTCAATGATCTTTCCAAAATTACACTGCTACCAATGGCTGCTGATAACATAAGGCACTGAATATCTAAACTCTTATTACCTTTTTCAGGTCAGGCCATTCCTTAGGTAGAATGTGGCTATGAATATCAATTTTCATTTTGGAAGTATTAAAGGAAAAATACTGTTTCACAGAGTTTGCTGTGTAATTGCCACTACCCTCCTTTTCCCTCGTTCGGCAGCTTATTAACTTCAGCAGCTGCTCAGATCCACCTGCTGTGGTCACGAGAACCCAGTACAGTAACCAACCAGGGAGCCTAGACCCCAGAGGAGTGGCTGTGCAAAAGAACAAAGGCTTCTAGCAGAAAGTCCATGTTATTGCATCAACTACAGCTGGCGGAGGGCAAAGGGAGGAGTATATGTTTATATTGGCAGTATAAAGGGATTTATTTTACCTAGAGTCTAAAATGCAAGCTCAACTTTACAAGCTGAAAATCATTCAATGACATTGAATTAGAATAAATGTATTAAACAGGCTGATTTCAATTTCCTCCTATCTCTCTCTTAGGTTCTTACATAATTTGTACATGATATATACTTAGTAGGCAGTCATACCTCCTCATCTATTCTTTTCCTTCTTTTGCATTTTCTTAAAATTTACTTTAAAAAATTAACAGAAATACCAAATTATAGCCAAATCTATGCTCTGCATTTTATTCCTTCCCTCTGATCATTGGTTTAAGCTGAATATTTACACATGCCACTGTGTTGGCTCAATATCAGGCAGGAGAATGGCTCAGCTTACTTTAGTAATTAAGACTATTGGAGCACGCTAGCTAATATGGCAAGTGGTTTCTGCATTCTAAGTGAAGCTTAACTGGATCTATCTCAATTTTTTCTGTGTAATTACATCTTCTGTTTCACCCTTTACACAATTTAATATTAGACTTCTTTCCTCAAGATACCGTTGACTGTCATTCATGCTGCAGCTTTTCTCTGTAATTTATTTCTGGTATAGCTGTGCTTCAGTGTAGGCTGCTCACATGGTGTCTTCTTGCTAACCTTGGTTAACCATTTCTTGATTGATTTGTTTCTAATGAAAACTGCTGATTTTTCAAAACTACATTTCGCTGCGAATCTTTCAACCTGAAATCAAGCAACTAGAAAAACAAGTTTTCTTTTTTGTTTCAACAGTTTTCTGACTTCGTTATTTTGTTTGGTCTCGATTTAAAAAAAAAAAAGAAAAGAAAGGTTCGTAGTGCATTTCCGTGCTTTGTTGTGTTTTTCCTCATTCAGAAAGTCTGCTTTTGATTCACTCACTTAACCTGGGTATTCTTCAAGTCAGCTGTAACACAGTTGGTTGCTCACTTGATAGCACACTTGTTTGCAACTTGGGGTTGCTGAAGACTGAACATTATAAGAAATAGGAAGCAGATGCTTTTGGAGAGCATATCCTACATTAAATAGTAATAATTCATTTTCACAGGTAAATGAAATGGGATTGAAAATAGCAATTACTTTTGTATCAAAATCAAAACCAGTCTGTTCATGACCTGGCTGACAGGTCAAGCAGTGAATTTGGTCTCCTACTCCCAGGTGTGACAGCTATGCTATGCAATGTAGTACTATAACATTAGTCTGTTGGCAAGCTAGATGCTTGTACATACAACTGCAGAGATAAGGAAGAAGTGTTGATTATATTGTTAGATATGTTATAATAATATGATATTATTGAATAAATATATCTTTGGAAGACAATTGCCCATTTAAGCATAGAAAGCAGAAGTACTAGTGAAGGAGAGGAGCAGGAAGACGTGTTTAGAATGTCCAACACATAGTTTCTTCTCTTAAGTCACAATGGCTGCAGAGGTCAGCATTTCTTCAAAAAGTGCTTTATTTTTCATCTCTAAAAAAAGTTGTAGCTGCTAGTTGTTGCTCCCAAGACACAGCTTAGCTTGCAAACAGTACCTGCTCCCACAGTGCATTTCATTTCACAGCAAACTTCACTCGACCACTTCAGTCAAAGGCAAAAACTGCATCTGTTTCAACTTGATCTCAGGGACACTAAGACATGTTGATATCCATCATGATCCATTAGATCAGCAGCAGAAGGACCGGCACTGGCTACAAGCAAGAACATCTTCTGTCAATCCTGCATTCCACTTTGAATGCATGGGTTTGAAAGATTGAGTATTTTGACAGTCTAATATTTTAGACAGTCTGTTTTGTAACAGAAGAATGACTTATGTGTCTCAGTCTCTGTGGCATTTGTACCCTAATGCAACGTGATGCCTTTTAGCACAGCCCTTGCTATATCTCTCCGTTTGGTTGCGAACTTCTGGAGTGTGATGTGGAGGTGCAAGAATTGCCAACAGGAGCCAAAAAGTCTGATAGATTTATCAGACTGCCCTATGCAGAAGGAGAGGAGCTTAAATTCACCGTGCTTCCAGGCAAGAGGTCCTGACTGAATGGAAACTTTCACGTGCAGAATGTCTGGGCCAACAGAAAGACATATTCTATCATTTGTGGATCCATACAACCTGTTAGCTGTCTGTCTCCAAACTATACTCACTCTTAGGCTACCCACAAAGAATTTACATCCTAGAGCATTTCGATGAGATGACAAAATGCTGTGGTTTAACATGGATAGGCAGCAAAGTCCCACACAGGAGCTCTCTCACTCCCTCTCCTCAGCAGGATGGATGATGGGGAGAAAAAGAGGAAAGAGAAAAAAAGGGAAAAGGAGGTACAGAAAAAGCAGGTTTGAGATAGGAGCACTTAAATGAAAGGAAAAATATATAAAAAAAGGAAAGCCTGCACTGAAGCAAAAGAAGAAATAACCTATTTTTATATTACCCATTGGTAAGTGATGCTCAGCCATTTCTTAGGAAGCAGGGCCTAAATACTGGCTGTGGAAAGGCAGCCTTGATGCTGTGCCAGCACAGTAGGAGCCACATGGGTGAGATATCAACACTGCTCTGCAAGTGCAAAGCACAGCACTGTATGGACTGCTTTAGGGAAAGTTAGCTCAAGCCCAGCCAGACCCAGTGCAAAGAGTTGGAAAAAAAACCACAAAACACATCAGTCAATGAGTGTACTTGCTACATCTGCTAGAGAGGAGAACTGAAATGTGCACTGACATCTTCCCAGCCAAAAGGGGCCTCCTACATACATTAGGAAGGAACATATGTTACAATAACTTGCCCCACCTGCCTCAGTATCCTTATGGCACTAGTGTCTTTTAGATCCCATGTAGTAAAACATCCATTTAGTGTGGCCTTTACCAACTGAAGTGCATTCTTTGTTATGATAAACTTCCCTTTTAGGAAACTATTTTAGGGGACTATTTAGGCCAGAGCTGATTTTAGATTGGCAGACATAAGTCTAGCAGAGCTATAGGGCTTTATGTCACTATAGGGACCAGCACTAATTGAAAGCTATGTTAGATGTACTGCACTCGATGCTCATTTTCTAAAACTATGTAGCTGTTCTGAAAGAATTACAGAATTTGAGATTTGGAATCTTCATACTGGGAACTGGGGTCCAATTCTGCCTTTTATTTTAATCAGAGAGAATGTATTTCCCTGTGCCTGTAAAAACCATGATAGAGCACTCTTCACAAGAGGGCACATCAATAAACATGGCTAAACTGCAGACAGTGCTGCTACACATCCAGCAGCCCATATCAAGACAGCCCCTTTGCAGGTAGGATGAACACAGAAACAAAGAGGCAAATGCAGGAGTCTGACATCAGAAAGTCCTGAAATACTTGTGCCAATTTTCCAATCCTTACAATTCTGCATGTTCTTCTCTGGCATCTGCTCTTTAAACAGCACATTTGGTTGTGAAAAATGGCTATTTTATACATGCACAGTGCTGGAAAGCCAGTGGGAAATTCGTTGTGCCCAGCAGTGAAAATGAAGTGCTCGAAGAACACGTCCCTTTGCAAATGAAATGAGTGCTGAGCAGCCTGTGTACGTTGGTTGCTTAGCGACAAGCTGTCCTTCAGTCCTGCTGCTGCTGCTCCACTCCTTTGGGACTGCCATCACAGACCTGCTTGGAAATGACATGTTTGGAGAGGATGCAGGAGGCGGTGGTTCCATTTTTTGTGTGGTATTAAATGATTAAACCTTTTCTATTGAATTAGCCTGCTCTTCACAGAACTTAATGCTCTTCTGGAGCTCCAGAGAACTCAGAGTTTAGTGAAAGTGGAAAAGCTTCCCTCCTGTGGGGAATAAAAACAACGGTTATCACTTCTCTCCTAATGACAGTACATACACTACTATATGTAGTGTAGCTCCACACTACATATGGAACATACACATTTCCATATGTAGTTCTCAGAATGCTACACAATGGATGTTATTTCTGGGAGGCAAATGCTGAAGAACATAACAGGGCTACACCAGGAGGACATGTCCAGCCACAGTTACAACAGTAAAGCCCTTAATAAGAACATATCCAGGGAGTGGGTGACATTATGATCCCCTGTTCTCAAACACCAATGACCACGCAATACAAACAAGGGTTTGCACAGCTGGCTGGGTTGCGATGTCAGCATTTCACTTAGGTGTATCTACAGAGTGCAAGAGCAGAGGCTCACAGACCTTCATTTTACAGATGACATCAGCTCAAGATGAGATCATAGAATAGAATCATAGAATCATTTGAGTTGGGAGGGTCCTTTAAAGGTCATCTAATCCAAATCCCCTGCAATGAACAGGGACATCGACAGCCAGGTCGAGGTGCTCAGAGACCAGTCCAGGCTGACCTTGAGCGTCTCCAGGGACAGAGCATCCTGTTCCATTGCTTCACTACTCTTATTGTGAAAGGTTAGTGACAATAGAGTGAAAGGGAATTGTAAAAGGGTAGTGACAGCTCTTCCCTATCATATAAAGGTAATGACAGCAGTGCTAGTGTCTTGATCATTAAATACATTGTTTTCCAACAACATTAAATTTTATTATTCAAAACCCATTGCAGAAACAACTGAAAGAGCTACTGTTTAGACAAACAGCAGAGCCAATGCTGGTCAGTGTCTGAGTCCAGAGAAATGAGGGTTTTTTTAGTCCAGATGTAACACTGTACTGATGCATCTGATGCTTCCAAGACCAAAGCTATCAAATTGCTGTGGAAGATTCACGGTTGCAAAAGCTCAGGATGATGCTCACCAGTTTGTCTCTATTAGATCTGCCACTGCCATCACAATTAAGTCACTGCAGTTTATAATGCAGAAGTGGCCAGGGCTGCCGATGCTTTTGGCAGCACACTGCCTTGCTCTGTGACCACTAGCCCAGCAGGAGTTCTGATGAACCACTCAGTGGTTAAAGCAAACAATGCATCCTGTGCCAAATTCCCCAACTGCTCCTGTGCTCTCTGCCACATAAGCTAAGCCTTAACAAATTCTCATTTATTTCCAGATTTTTTTTTTTTTTTTTTTTAAATGCTTACGTTTGGAAGTGGTGTTCCAGAAAAAAAAAATAAAAAAAGCCTACCACTTTCAAATGATATCATTATTTTCTCAATACATTAAAATTGTGGTTCTGCAATTAACACTTAGCATACATTTACCTTGCAGAGAGATGTTCCATCAAACAATAAATAAATGTTTTCCCAAACCTGAGAATAAGTAAAATAGAGTTTTCATTTTTCCCTGAATAAAAGAGACTCTATTAAGCATGTTTCAGGACAAGTGTCACTCTTGTAGGTGTGAGCAACAGATACCAATAGTGTAAGTGTGGTCCAGGAAGAACAGATGGAATGAAGTTCTGAAGCTGCTGATATAAAGAACTCATACTTTGAGTGAATGCCCCACGGGGACATCCGAGATTGATATATTCATCTAGGCACTGGTGTCTAAGAGAAATAAATAAATAGGACCACTGGAATTAATAGCACTAAGTAAATACTAATTGATGCACTCATACCCCAGTGGTCACCATCTTATGTTTATATGCAACAGCCTGAAGAAGAGTTAAGTGTTCCACTACCCAAGGATGCCAGAGAAGAATCCTTTTGGTTACCAATGCTCTAGCAAGCAGGAAAGCTCTACCAAATGCGAATCTAAAGAAGAGCCAGAAATGGTTCAGCTAGCTCATATTGCAGTCACAGCTAAACAACCATGTCATCCAAGTGTTTAAATAAAGCTAACCAAACTACTTCTCATGGAGAAGCCTGTGAGATGTACTTTGCTTTATGATTTCTCATATGCAATGCAACTGCTGATTTGGAATGAACATTGCAGTTTGAATTATTTCCTCAACTTTCATATTTAGTTTTCCTCTCAGGGAAAGGAAGGTATTGTCTTTTTTCTTTGTAATTGTAGCACTAGTTCTCAGTGTTGTTTGCCTTCTATGCTATTACTAAAAAAGATACATGGTTTCCTGACTGTGTTTAAGTGTGTTTTCCTGATTCACTTAATCTAACTCTGTTAGAATTAATCTTTAAAGTCAACACAAAGCCCACTTTAGTCACCAGGAAATCTATTAAGGGATGGTTTCAGATCAAAGAGTAATTTTGAGCCACTGCAGAGACAGATCAACTTAACTGAGGGACTGGAGGTAAACTTTTTATGAAATTCAGTAATTAAATACAAAGGCAATTTAGAGTTTTTGGGTTGTCTGTCAACCATGACAATATATGATTGCCCACATCAGAACAGTGCCTCAAAAAGCTTTGCATTATAAATCATAAATTTGTGAATAGCATTTGTGCAACTCATCTCAAGTGCCACTGGTTGCAGTTTGCATTAAGTGGATCACCAACTAGTGACTGCAGTATACACAGAGAGCACCTCTTCAATATTGACTGGAATGGATTTTCCTGTGGTAAGTGACGCAAGCTGCTGCTGTCTGATTGTGGCTGGGGCTGCAATGTCAAAGTACAATTGGGCTGCACTCCTGCTGCTGAGCACTGAGAATTTGTAGTGAATGTTTTACACGTTTATATAATTCATTGTTTGGTGAATGGTTCTTTTGTCTCTAATTAGACAGCATTTTTAGGAACAAAAAAGTACATGTTTCAGAATAGTTGTTCTAACACATTTGCTCATCTCCATGGTAGTTCCTAAACAACTGGATATAGTAAAATTTCCTGGGGGCATGGAACACCACCACTTGGGTCCAAAAGTATAGGATTTCCAATACAGTGCTGATTTTCAATACATGTTCAACATAACAATAAGATTTTATACTATTTGTGAAATCCTTAATTTTCAGATCCTGTAACAAGTTAGATATGCTTATAAAATTAATGAAAATAATTACTTTGTAGTATTACTAACAAAAGCCAACATTCAGTCCCTTCATTTCAAGTGATAAAAGGAAAGCAGTTATACCAGTTCAGTGGAACTGAACTGCCTCTTCCGAAGAGGCTCACTGGTTTAGCAGGGAGCTGGATAGGAAAACAGAGGAAGGCTACCACATGAAGATGGACCCTGAATGAAAACTTATTTCATTCTCTTTTACTTCCTCTTTTAAAGTTTTTTTGTTTTGTGATAAAAACCATGCACACCACAACTGTATTTTGCCCTTTGGTGACAAGAAATTGTGCTCTGACATCAATATCTATATACCATTAGGTAGATGCAGAGGTATGAGTTTGTCAGGAGCTCTGCTTTCATGAAGGAAATGGGATCTCCTACTGAGCCACTTACCAAGCATTGGCTCCTATTTTTTTCTTGCCTTCACAGCCTGGCCATTGTTCACTGGCTAGAAGTACAAATACTATTGCAGGATCCTATTGTAATTCCACAAGTACATGAAAGCAAGTAGAACTAAATTAGGCAACATTAGTACTGTTGTGAGATCATCAAATATTAGCACATTTTGTGAGATCTACCATCCTGGCCTTGTTCCCTTCCCTGCTGTGTCAATGACCTCATGCCTCTCCCTTTAGAGTAGAGAACTTCTGTAATATCTCTGCTCCACCAGTAGGGAATTAGAGGGATAGAGCTGGGTTGCTCTCCTTCCCAGTTAGTGGCACCTCCATCTGAGCCAAGAACTGTAGAAATTCAAAGTCCCTGTGTAAATGTAACTCACAAGAGCAGAGAATGAGCCTGAATAGGTGGGAATAAGTAAGTGGTACTGTAGCTCAGCATGAAAGGAGATGACAGTTACTGTCACCAGCATTAGCACTGCTATGGTTCCATGATACAGGAATGCACCCAGTAGCAGATTTTGGCTGCTGCAACATGAACTGAACAATAAAGAAATGAAAGGTTAGTCCGGGGAAAAGATGGATATCTATTCAAAGCTTCCTGATGTCCAGCCTACTCACCGGGACTTCTGAAGGCTTAATAAGATCATGGTAGGAAGTAAGTACATTACCTATAGTATTATCTACAGTCTGGCACTGCACAGGTGAATTAAAAGCATACTTTACTGAAGCTCAGTCTACCCCAAGACAGAAAAAAAACACTGTAAGTAGAAAACAAATAGCTGAACAACCTGAATTTATGGCAATGATTATGATGAGTTTTTATAACAGGCACTGGTAATTCCTCTTTATAAAAGCCCTATTGAGAGACAACCTTAAGCACAAGTTTAGGTACTTTCCTACTATGTGCTCGACTAGCAGGAGAGTTTAAAAGATCTGTTTAACACTAAGCTAATTTTTGGTGTTTTTTTCTTGGCTTTTCTTACTTTTCCATTATTGGCTCAGACCAACGAAGTTGTTTCATCTCAGCCCCTTTTTACACATCATTTAACATTTCAAAAACAGTAACTGATGCAACATCATAATTAAATTACCTACCCGTTTCTAGCTTGGAGCCTCTTATATGCTTCATAAAGAGCCAATATAAAAATCAGCTCGGAATATAGAACACAGGGAACTGTACCCTAGACAATGGTTGCTTCTCACACACTAAATCCTTGCCATTGCTTTCATGCTGCTGGGACAGCTAGTTTCTCCTTACCTGATGTACAATCAATGAATGTACAGATGTTATAGTTATGAGGTGTACCAGAGCTTGGCCATACAGTTATTACACCAAAGCAAAAAAGATAGGATGCCTACCTGTATCCTAAACTCACTTAGGAAACTCCAGTAGAGTGGATCTCCAGAAGAGATCCTTCCCCACTGGTAGTCAGCTCTTAAAAGGATCTAGGAGAGGTGCAGCCAGGCTCCACCCCTTCCAGCAGCACAGGTGAATTGCCTTCACCCATGCTCCCAAGACTGACTCATTGCTTGCCTCAGGTGATCAATCAGAGGTTCAGGCCATGACTCAGCAGTTCCCATACACCTGGTCACTGCAAATTTTAGGATTAAGGCAAAAATCCCACTGGTCAGTTCTTTTGAAGCTGTTAAACCTTTGCCCCACAGTAGATGGTGCTGCATATGTTAGGACTTTATGTTTTAGAAACATCACTTAGAACCATATCATGGTGCAGAGGAAGGGACCGCAGATAGTTCATTTCACCTGGGTGGCGGCAACAAGAGCTTTTCTATATTTACACTTGCAGTGATAAATTATTCTGATAATCTACGCTGAATTAACTAATAGAAATAGCAAAATACCAAACTAAACAACAACTCATATAAAGCTCTTCATTTAAAAGCCATCTTCTGCACTGCAGATTTACATTGGACACTTCCTACTACTTCACCTGAAGCCATGCAGCTAGAAAGGAAGCAATTTGCATCACTGAAGTCATTCTTCAAATATTAAATGAAGAAAAGGTTGAGAGTTTTATTCTAAAAGGTGCATCACACACAGGATCAGATATTGTTGCCATGGCTGGCTTCCTTTATTGCTTTGAATAAATCCATATTTGATGCATTAAGGATGGATTGGGTTACTCCTAAGTAGAAGTAGGTCAAATTGTCTTTAAGCCACAGATCCCTCATACATACCACTGAAGAAAGCACTATAGATTCTTCCTTATTTTTTTTTAAATCTTTAGCATGTTCAATTGCAGGGCAGTTCATAAATTGACTTGCAGTTAATGCATAATGCCATCTAGTGGAAAAATCAACAAGTATGGATGCAAAAAGTTTGTCTAGATATCCCATGAAATGTAAGTCTGATTAGTGTTACAACCATGTGTCAGTTTTAATATTGACTTAAATTTAAAGCAAAAGAACTATAGCTTGATTTTCAAAACCTCCATAATAAAAGATCTTCACCAAATTTAAATTCCAAAGACATTTAATCCCTAAATGCGAGATATGCAAATCTTGGTCTCAGTGAACTTGTATACACAATGATTGTAGGGTATGAAACAGACCTTGGAAGTATCTTGATTTTCTTTTCTGTTCTAATTTTACTTAAAGATTGAATTTCTTGATCAATAAAATGACACCCATTTCAAGTTGGTAAAGGAGAGAATTCAAAGAAGTTTGCTGAAAAACCTGTGGTTCCAGAGAGTTCCAGATTGAATGATCATCTCCAGAACTATGAGGTCACTTT